CTCGAGCAGATGCGGAGCCGGCGCTGTCGCGGTCGGGCTGCCGCGAGTCCTGCACGCCGCTCGCCGAGTCGGGTCGACCATTGTCGAGCTCGTCGTCCGAGAGGTTGCCCTTGCGCGACACGTCGCCCTGATGCGGGTCGCCGGCGCGAGCCGAGGAGGGATCGTCGTCGGCTGGATCGACGTCGGCGGTTCTGGCCGGGTCGCCGCTCGCGAGGTCGTTCTGCGGCGGTGCGGCGCCGCGAGATGTCCCGGTGCGGGCCGAGTCAGCCGGCGTGGGCCCGTCGTCTTGAGCGCCGTCCGAGTCGACGTCGGCGTCTTGGGCACGATCGCCTTGCCGCCTGCTCGGTGCCATAGCCGATGTCGCGTAGTCCGAGTCGGAGGAAGGAGGGTCGACGTCGGCGGCGGCGGCGGCAGCGGCGCCGGCGGCGGCGCCGGCTGTGGCGGCGGCGCCGGCTGTGGCGGCGGCAGCGGCGGCGGCTGTCGAGCGAGGAGGCAGGCTCGAAGCGCGGGACGAGGTCGGCCCGGCGCCGTCGGTGGCACCGTCGTCACCTTGGACAGGGTCTGCGGCTCGAGATGACGATCGAGGTTGCGCTGCGCGGGAGATGGGCGAGAAGAGCGTCAGGGGAGGCCTAGGGTTCGCGGCGAGGACAAGAGGAGGAGCTCACGGTCGTATGAGGAGGCGCCGACCGCATTGCCGGCGTTGTCGTCGTCTTGGGCCGCGTCGTCTCGCCCGTCTTGACCAATGTTGCGCGACGTCGATGCCGACTGGTCCTGCGGGTCCTGCTGCGAGTCGTCGGGCCCGTCGTCGTCGAACCCGCTCGGCGCTGCTCCCGCCGCGAGAGCACGAGGTCGGGGAGACGTTGTCGATGGTGGAGAAGGGTCGTCGCGAGTTGACGAGAAGTCGTCGCCGGAGCTCTGCGGAGCGTCGACGTCGTCGGACGAGGTGAGGGGGTCGACAGGAGGAGGGACGGGACGCGTGCTGGTGCTCGAGGCGAGTCGGCGAGCGGGTCGAGGCGCACTGCCGCCGGCGTAGTCGTCGTCCGACGAAGGTGGCGAAGGTGCGCCGGCGGTGGAAGGAGCAGGGTCGGCGCCGGCGAGAGAGGGCGGACGGGCCGTGGCCGAGTACTGGTCGCGCGAGGTCGACCGCGCGTCGAGATCTGCGGGGCGGTAGAGTTAGCGCCCTAGTCACTCGCATAGAGCGCGATATGGAACGCGGAGAGAGAGAGAGAGAGAAAGAGAGGAGGACGGACCGCTCTGATCGTCGTCGCTGTCGGCGCCCCCCGTGCCCGCACCGCCCCGACGAGCCGCCCTCCCACCGCCATCGTCCTCGTCTCCTCCCTCGAAGCCCACATCGCTGTCCGAGTCGCCGTACGTCGACGAACCGGCCGCAGGAGCGAGCCGTGCCGCGCGCGAGCGAGTGCGCCTCGACGGCGCAGGTGGCCGCACGTCGCCGTCGCCGTCCGAGTCGGTCGCGGCGCTCGAGTCGGCGTTGTCGTAGGCGTACGAGGTAGCCGGTTGACGGGAGGAGGATGAAGGTGAATCGGCGGCGCCAGGGTCTCGTCGAGCGGTCGGGGCGAAGCTGGAGGACGGCGGCGGATCTTGGTCGCCCGAGTCGCCGACGCTCGACGGCTCGTACGTCGACGGCGCACGAGGCGCATCGCGCATGCCGCCGCTCGTCGCGCTCCTCGCCGCTGCCACCTCGTCATCGTCCGTCCCTGCCTCGCTCCCGCTGTCCATCGCGCCTTCCTGCGCCGCCGCTCCACCCGCTCGAGGCGTCACCTGCGGCGCGAACCCTCCATCATCTGTCCCACTGTCGCCGCCGACCGCCGATGCCGCCTGCGGCCGGAACGCGGCGTCGTCGTCCGTGTCGCTCGACGCCGCGGCAGGCGGCAGGTCCGTGCGCGCGCTCGCCGCCCGAGGAACGAACGCGTCGGGCGCAGCTGCGGCGCTCGCAGGCTGCGGGTCGAACGCCGAGGGGGCGCTCGCGGCGGCGGGCGCGACAGCGTTCGCCGGCTGCGCCTGCTGCGAGACGAACCGGGGCGGCACGAGCGCCCGTGTCGGCGGCGGCGGCGGCGGCGGCGGGCTCGAGGACGCGTCGGTGGCGCCGTCGGGCTGCGGCGCGTAGTACGACGGGGCGGCGGCGAGGCTCGACGGCTGCGGGACGAAGGCCTGCGGCGGGGCGGGTGCAGGTGCGGCGGCGTCGATTTGGGAAGGCCGGAAGGTCGAGCTCGGGGGAGGATGGTATGGGTAGGACGAGGGCGCATTGTCGGACGTCTGCTGAGGCGCATACGGGGCGAGCGAGGCGGGACGGGCGTTGTACGGCGGGAACGAGCCGGCGCTGCTCGACAATGCGGGCGGGGCCGAGGGCGGGTCGTACATGGCGGTGGAGGCGTCCGAGTACGGCGGCCGACGGAAAGTGCCGTACGACGACGCCGACGAGGAGGGAGGCGACGAGCCGTACGAGGCGCCGGGAGGCTCGGCGGTTGAGTACGAGACGGGGTGAGGAGGCGTCGGGGCAGCGTACGCCTCGCGAGGACGGGCGAGGGGCGCGTCGTAGCCGCCGTCGGACGATGACGGGCTCGTCGGCGCACCGTACGAGCTGGACGAGCCCGCGACCGGGTACGACGAGGCAGAGCTCGGCGCGGCGCCGCTGCTCGCCGGCGGACGCGACGAGTAGCTCGCCGCCGAGTAGGCCGGCTGTCCGGGTGAGGGCCTCGCCGACGCCGTCTGGTAGCCCTGAGGGGCCGAGGCATAGCCCGGTGCCGCCGCCTGGTACGCCGGCGCCGTCGACTCGACCGGGCTCGCCTCCTCGTCCGAGAGGTTCGACGCCGCCGTCGACGCCGCCCTCGAGCTGCCCTCGCCTCGCTCGCCGACAGGTGCCGACGACCGTCCCGCCGACGCGCTCTGCTGCGCGTACAAGGCCGGTGTTGGCGGCGCGACAGGCGGCAGGCCGCGGTCGACGAACGAGCCGGGCAGGAAAGCCCGCGTCGGCTGCGGCGCCTGCGAGGCCGAGCTCGGCGCGTACGGGCTCGCCGCAGGAGGCGCGTAGTAGGGCTGAGACGGCGGTGCGGCAAACTGCGGCGGCGGTGAGGCGAGTTGGGAAGGCGCGCGCGAGAAGGCCGGCGGCGCGCTCTCGCCGCGAGCGATGCCGAACGCGCCCGGCAGGGATCTCGGCGCCGCGTTGAGCGGAGGCGATGACGGATAGCCGGGCGCAGAAGGAGGCGAGGTTGCCGGGGAGAAGGTCGAGGGAGGAGGAAGGGGAGGAGAGTAGGCCACGTAGGTGGGCGGTGCTGGGCGCGAGTACGGCTGCGGCGACGCGCCCTGGTCGCGCCTGGGCTCGAACGCCTCGGCGCCGCTCGACTGGCTGCCCGAGTACGAGGTCGGGCGCCGGGGCGGCGCGTAGGCTCGCGTCAAGCTCGACGGCTGCGCCGGTGCGGCAGGATAAGGGGTCGGCGAGTAGGCGTAGGTAGGGGTCGGGATGAAGGCCGGAGCAGGACGGGCGAGTGTCGACGAGGTGTAGGGCGCTGCACGCGATGAGACGTCAGTTGTGCCCTCTACGAGTGAGGGAAAGAGGGGGCGCACCGGCGGTGTAGGCGAACGAGGACGGTGCGCTTGGAGGAGGGAGCTCGGGCGACGATGCGGTACTCGTGGGAGGCCGCCGGATGAAGTTGAGGTCGGCGGCCATCTCGGCGGCGGTCGACAAAGGCCGACGAGCAGGTGCAGGCTGGAACGGCTGCGGCTGAGGCGGGTACTGCGGCCCGTAGGTCGGCGATACGGGAGCGGGGTACGGGGCTGGAGGTGCCGCAGTCGACGAGATGGGCGCATACGTCGGCGCAGGAGGAGGGCGAGCAGGTGCGGCCGAGGAGGGCGAGGGCGACCGGCTGTCGACGGGGTCGAAGCTCGTAGAGGAAGGAAGAGGACGACTCGGGGTGTCGAAGGACGTGTCGGAACGACTTGCAGCTGTGCGTGCGGGAAGAGCGTGAGCGGCGGCGCCTCGCAGAGACGAGGGAGGAGGACGCACCGCCGGTGTCGTCCGAGTTCTCTGCGCCCGAGTCGACGGCGGCTTGAGGCTCAGCCGCCTGCTGCGGCTCGAAGTGCGAGTTGTTGACGCTCGTGGGCTGGAAGCGCGAGTCTGTGGGCGGCAAGAGGGTCAGTACGGGCGCCGGCAAGATCGAGGGAGGATGAGCCGAGACGCACCGTCTGTCCCTCCCTTGGGCTCCTCATCGGCCCTGCTGCGCTCTCCTTGCTCCTCGCTCCCTTCTTTCCTCCTCCTCCTGTCCTCCCACTCCTGCCACAGGTGCCCGAACCAGCCTGGCCCGCCCTCGTGCGGCGGCTCGTCCTCGGCTCCCGGCTCGCGGTGCCGGTGGTGGTGGTGGTGCGGCGCGTGCGAAACGCGGCGGTAGACGGTAGCAGGTGGCGCGCTGCCGCGTCGTCTCGAAGTGCGGGACGAGGGCGAGGGCGGCGGCATCGGCGCTGAGAGTGGGAGGGACGGGGAGTGAGCAGGGTCCGGGCGGCGTGAGGTGGAGAGAGAGTGGGCGCACCTGGCTGTTCAGCGCGGCTCCTTGAACAAGCTGAGCGAGTTCCCAAGCAGCTTGACGAGCAGCGAAGCGGCAGCCAGAGATGCGGCTTGAGCAGACCGAGAGACGGACGAGACGGCGCCGGCGTCCGCGGACCGTCCGAAGAGACAGTTTCGCCTTTTCTGCGCGTGCTCTGCTGTCCTTGAGACTGCAGGTCTGCGGCTTCGAGAGCTGTAGCGGAGGCGGGACCGCGCGAGAGATGAAGTCGACGGCCGACCGAGGTCAGAGGTGGGGAGGGACCAGGCGGGTCTGTCGCGGCCGTCAAGCGAGCGTACGGCTGCCGCTGAGCAGTCTGAGCGGGCCAGAACGCGTCCCAGAGCGAGAGGGCGAGAGATGTTTGCCGTGGTTCGGTCGCGTCTCTCGCCGCTCCTCCTCGTCCTCTCCCCACTCACGCCCGGCCGCTCCCACCTCCCGACCAGAGCCATGCCCCTGCCAGACGTGCACCCAGACGGCGACCCTTTCGCACAGCGCGACGCCGAGCAAGCCAGCACCTCGTGGCTCGGCCGCATGGAGCAGCGCGCCCTTCTCGACCAGTCGGCCCCAGCCTCGTCCAACGCCACCCCGTCCTCGCCCTCGCACGCCAAGCCTACCTCCGGTTCGTTCGCCCCGCCGCGCCCTGCCACCGCCGTCAAGCGCGAGACGAGCCCCGGTCGCGCACCCGCGGCCAAGCCCCGCCAGAGCCTCACGACCGACGCGCGCGGGCACGAGGTCCTCGTCGTCGACTCGGACGACGACGACGATGAAGATGACGGCGACCACGACGGCGAGGAGGAGGACGGATCCGAGGGCGACAGTGGGGACGGGTCGGGGACCGAGGGAGAGGGAGAGGGCGAGGGGTCCGACACGCCCCAAGTCGCAGGCGTCGACGACGAGGACGAGGAGGAGGACGACGACGAAGATGACGACTCGGACGACGACTCGAGCTCGAACGCGAGCGGCCCTGCCGGTCGTGCCGGCGACGACGTCGAGATGGTCGACGGCGCGCCCTCGACGTCCAAGACGGTCAAGAAGGTCGTGCGCCCGTCTACCGGCGGTACCGGCGACGCCGAGATGCAGGACGCCGACGCCGACAAGGAGGGCGACGCCGACGAGCAGCCCAAGAAGAAGCGCCGCCGCCGCCGCGCGCACTCGCCGACCCCGCCCCCGCTCGAGCACAAGGAGCGCACGACGATCCGCCTCGACATTGCGCTCCCGCCGCGCAAGGGCGCCGTCGTCCCCGAGTTCAACGTGCGCGCCATCTGCAAGGACAAGGGCCTCATCCCCGAGGATGAGCCGCCCAAGGTGGACGAGGACAGCGAGCCCGAGGGCCAGGACAAGGAAGGCGCCGCCGAGGGCACGCCTGCGACCGAGGGAGGCGAGAACGGTGCTCCGCCGGTGCGTCCCGTCGCCCTCGCGCTCGTCGAGCCTCTCGCGACCGCGGCACTGACAACGCTTTGCGTCCTCCCCCTCTCGCAGAAGAAGAAGCGCAAGCGCGGGCCCAACGTCGTGCTCGGTCGATTCGGCGGCTACGACACGCAGGACCCGTTCGTCGACGACGCCGAGATCGGCCTGTACGAGGTGCGTCGCTCTCTCCTCTCCCTCGATCGCGCCCCTCGCCCGGTCCCTCCTGACCGCCCCCACCTTCCTGCGACAGCCTCGCTCGTTTGCTCGCCCGCTCCGCGACGGCTACTTCATCCAGTCCGGCCCAGTCGAGGTCCTGGGCCGGCGTGGGCGCGTCAAGGGGTCCAAGAACAAGCCCAAGGTGCGCTCGCACCTTCTCTCATGTCACCCCCCTCTCGTTCTCGCACTCACGTCGACGCCCTCGCGCCCGCAGCTCGACGAGAACGGCAACCCGATCCCGGGCGCGTCGTCGAGGCGCAAGTCGAACAAGATCGTCATGGGCCCGGACGGCAAGCCCAGTGCGTCCTCGCCTCGCCTCCTCTTCTCCCTCCAGCAGGGCTCTGACCTTTTCGCGATCTCGCAGTACACGTTCCCGACACGGACAAGTCGACCGAGGGTGGCCTGCCGCCCAACGCTGGGTCGCCGTTCCCGCCCAAGAAGGTGCGCGAGAAGGGCGTCTTCTCGAAGGAGCTCGAGGACGACTTTGCCATGCTCAGGCGCGAGGTCGCAAGCAGTGCGTTCCTCTCTCCTTCTCTCTTTCTCGTGCCTTGACGCGTTCGAGCACTCACGACTTGCGCCCGCAGCCGTGTGGGAGCAGAAGAACAAGTTCCCGCCCGACCTCAAGGAGACGCTCATCGGCGTCGCGTTCCACGCCCTGCGCCTCGACGAGTACGACGACGACTTTTTCGCCGTCATGCCCGACATCTTTGGCTACAACCTGTTCACGATGAAGAAGCTCATCAAGCGCGAGGTCTACTCGGGCCGGATCGCCGACCTCACCAAGCAGCAGGACGACCTGTGCGCGCTCGTCACCAAGCAGATCGACGAGCACTACCCGGTCCAGCACGCCGAGTACCTCGCCAAGCTCGAGTCGTGGGACAAGAAGCAGGCCGAGGGCGGTGGCGGCGGCATCGGCGGCCTGCCCGGCGGCGGAGCGCAGGCGGCGAGGAGGACGCCCGAGCCGGTCGCGAGGGCACCCGGGTTCGGCAACTCGCCTGCGATCGCGACACCGGCGCTCGGGGCGCTCGATGGAGCGGCCGCCGACTCGCCGGCGCCGGACAAGGGCGGCGACGACGAGGACAAGGACTGTGCGTCGACCTCTCTCGCCTCGTCGGACCTTCCTGCGCTCGCGCAGGACCGCTACTGACGAGAGTCCTTGCTGTCGACGCAGCGGGCGAGCCCAAGTGGCGCTTCCGGTTCAACGACGTCATCCGCGACGCGCTGTTCAAGGTCGGCGAGATCGAGGACAAGAAGTCCGAGTTGACGGTCGAGAAGCAGTGCGTCCCGCTTTCTCTCTCTCTCCTGCGCCTCTCGAAGCCTCGAGCTTCTCTCGGACGCGACCTGACGAACGTCTCGCCCCGCAGGAGCCTCGAGAAGTCCAAGGACAAGGCCGAGAAGCCGTACTCGGGCAAGAACGCGCGCAAGCTCCTCTACCAGCGTGTGCGTCCTCTGTTCCCTATCTCTCTCTCTCGTCACCTGTCTCTCATACTGACTCGGATTGTCGCGCAGATCGTCAAGCTGTGGCCCGACAACGACGTCTCGACGAACCAGATCTCGCGCGAGAGTGCGTCCTCGCCTTTCCCTCCCCTCTCTCTCTCGTGCGCCTCACTAACTCGTCCTGCCCCTCCTCCGCCCCTCGCAGTCAGCAACTACAAGCTCAAGCTCAAGAAGGCGGGCCTGCTGCCGGCCGAGCCGTCCACCGCGCCGCCTGCCGCCTGAGCGGAACCGCGAGGAGGACCGGGAGGGAGCGCACGCGGCGGCGGGTGGGAGGACGGGAGGGTCTGCTTGTTGTGTCGGTACTCGCTTGAGGACGCGCTGGATGCGCTGCTTGTTCTGCAACTGCTCGATCTACCTCGTCGTCGAGGGAAGAAGCGGCGGAGAGGACCGAGCCCGTCGCCCTCGTCGCGCACGCTCTCGCAGAGCACGAGGCTGCTCTCGATACCCTCTGTGAGCAGTCGAGAGCTGCGCAGAACGAGAAGAGAGCTTGACGTTGGACGTGCTCGGCGTTGTCGCCCGCCGACCTCTCGGCTCGCGCTCCTCCACATCGCTGTCGTCGACACAGCAGCTCCGCCGAGCGCGCAGCGTGCTCCCGCCAGCATGGAGTCACCTTCCTCGGACGGCCTCGTGGTTGTTGAGCCGTCCCGCACCAAGTCGCACGCTTCGACGCGTCCTCCGCCCGCCGACCCACGCGCCCGCTCGACCAGCGCTGCAGCCACGGGCGCGCGCAGGCTCGCGCAGCAGCCGTCCAACATCATCGAGCTGGGCGACAGCAGCGACGACGAGCTGCCGGTCGTCGTGGCAGCGAGGTCGGCGAGGTTGGGCGATGAGGACGACGACGAGGTGGTCATCGTGGGAGGGACCGCCATGGACCTTGCAGCACGGTGCGTCAGCTCTCCCTTTACCTCTCGCAGGCGCGCACACTGACCCGCGAGCTCGCAGGACCATGCGCCCGTTCCCCGACCCCTCGTCCGAGGACTCGCTCCCCGCCGTCAGCACTCTTTGGGGCGGCGCCGGCCTGTCTAGTGCGCGGTCGGCCGGCCAGACGGCCGGGCGTAGCGCGAGCTTGCTCGTCGGGACCGGAACGTCGGCGGCGCAGGTGCGTCCCTCCTCCTCCTCCTCCTCCTGGAGGCTCTTTTCCCGCAACCGAGCGCAGTTGCTGACCCTCTGCCTTGTGCAGACCCTCCCTCTCGCCCGCTCCCACACCCTCGCCGTCATTCCCGACCTCTCCTCGTCGCACCTCGCCCCGACATCCTCGCCGCACGGCCTCCCTCCTCCTCCTGCACACCGCGCCGCAGCGCACGCCTTTCCCTCGTCCTCGCCCGCCTACCACGCGCTCTCGCCCGCCCCGACCGCCAAGGGCAAGGGCCGAAGCCGCGCCGGCGGGCCGGGCAGCTCGAGCCTGTTCCGGCCCGACCTCAACGACGACCTCGACCTCGTCGACATCCGGTCCACGACGGCGGCGACGGCGAGGACCGACCCGCAGTGGCGCCCGCCGATCGAGGAGGACCTGTGGGCCGACATTCTGACGAGCCCGGGCCCCAAGGGCAAGGTCAAGGGCAAGGGGCGGGCCAAGGACAGGGCCGGGGTCGACGAGGGCGGCAGGGAGAAGAAGGGCAAGGGCAAGGGGCGCGCGCTCGACGGCGAGGTGGACGCGGCGGCGGGGCGCAAGAGGTCGGCGAGCGCGGCTGCGGCAGACGGTGGGCGGGAGGACGCGCTGGGACCCGGGCCGCAGAAGAAGGTGCGTCCTCCTCTCGTTCGCCGGCCGACGTTCCCAACCCTGACCTTTCGCTCGCACAGGTCGCTCGGCCGACGACGTCCACCAACTCTACCTCGACCGCACCCGCACCCGCTCGAGCCGCATCCGCCTCGTCGACGGCCGGCCTGAGCAAAACGGCGCTCAAGAAGCTCGAGACGGCCGACCGGGTCCGGCTGCGCGAGGCCAACACGCTCCGCGCCGGCGACAAGAAGGCGTCGACGGCCGAGCTCACCATGCATGTCTCGGGCCGGGCCTTCCTCCTCGGCGACGAGGGCGGCGACGACGTCGACGAGCCGGCCGCGGCCGGCGCGGGCGCGAGCCGCAAACGGCCGCGCAAGAAGGCCGGCGCGGTCAAGGGCTCGCCGTGGCTCGACATCGTGCGCGACGTGCGCGAGCGCCTCGCGGCGTACGCGTGCGACGTCGAGGAGCCTGGACGAGCGGCGGCGGCGAGAGAGGAGGAGGACGTGCTGGGCGACCTCGAGGTCGAGGGGGCGGTGCGGTGGACGCGCGTGTGCGACCGCATGTGGAGCGACGAGCGGCGCATGTTTGTCCCGCTGCGGGACGGCGAGCACATCGTCGTCGAGGAGGACTCGCGGCTCGTCTTCCTGTGCGTCCTCGCCTTTCTCGCTCTCATTTCCCCTCTCTCGGCGGCACTCTGACACGCGCTCGATCGTCCCCAGCTCGGCCCTCGACTTCTCGACGCACGTCGCCAACTCGACCCTGTCGGCGCACCTGTCGACGATCCAGGCGCGCCTCGCAGCGCACGTCAACCTGTTCGTGCTCGTGTTTGGCCTCGGGTCGCTCTTTCGCGACATGGAGCGCGCGCGGCAGGAGGCGTACCGCAACTCGGTGCGTGGCGGGGCGGGCGACGAGCGGGCGGTCAGGCCGGCGGGGATTGGCGAGCGGCAGCCGGGCAAGGACGAGCTCGAGCTCGCGCTCATGAGGTGCGTCGAGAGCTCGCTCGCTGTCGGTTCTGCGTCCCTCGTTCCGGGCGCGAGACTGACTGCTGCTAGGTCCAACTTCGCACAGGGTCCAGATCGAGTCGCGGTGCATGATCGTCAGCGTCGACAAGGTGTCAGAGGCGGTCGACTGGCTCGAGCAGCTCACGTTCGACGTCGGGCAGAAACCTTACCAGTGCGCCCTCGTTCTCTCTCTCTCTCTCTCTCTCTCTCAGCCTCACCGTCCTGACTTGACTCTTCTCGCCTGCTCCTGGCAGGCGCCTCAAGCACTCGCACGTCGCGCTCCTCGGCACCTCGGAGGACAAGGTGCAGAGCGGCAAGGACCTGCAGGACACGTACATCAAGCTGCTCGCGAGCGTGCCCAAGGTGACCGAGCCCGTCGCAAAGGGCATCGTCGCCGAGTACCCGACCCTGCGCGAGCTGTACGAGGCGTGGCAGGCGTGCGAGGGCGAGAGGGACAGGAGGGAGATGCTCGTTGGGATTGGGGTCCGTCGCCTCCTCCCTCCCTTCCTTTCTCAGGGCGCACATTGACGCTGCCTCTCTCGCGCGCCTGAGCAGAAGGGCCGCAACCTCGACGGGACGGCGACGCACCGCGCCATCGGCAAGGACCTGTCGGCGACCGTGTACCGCATCATGACGAGCCGTGCGTCTCTCGCTCTCTCTCTTTCCCTCTCTCTCGTCCCACGTCGTCCCGCCGAGCGCCGAGCGACAATTGACGAGCCCACCTCCCTCGCCTGTCCCCTCTCGCGTCGCGCCCGCAGGCGACCCCGACATGTTCATCTAGCGCGCGCTCGGCCCTCTCCCTTCCTCTCTCTCTCTCTCCTCCTCCTCGGCCGCCACTCCTCGCCGTGCAGTACGACGCCGTGTGCTGTCTCAAGCTGTCTCTGTGCCCTGCCTCGTCTCGCGAGAGAGCGAGAGCGAATCGAGAGAGCGAGAGAGCCAGCGCGCGAGCGAGGGAGAGCGTGCAACATGCTCTCGCGGCGCACGGCAGAAAGACGGGCTCTGCGAACGACAGGACGAGCGAGAGAGAGAGTGACATCCTGCTGCTGTTACACGCACGCGCGCGCGTGCGCTCGCGCCACCTTCCTCGCCCGACGCCCACCCGCTCGCGCTCGCTCATGCACTCGGCTGCGGCGCCGCCTCGCCCTGCTGCCCCTGGACCTCCACCCTCAGCTCCGCGCCCTCCCCCTGCTCCCGCTCCCGCTGCTCCCGCACCCGCAGCGCCTCGAGGGCCAAGTAGCCCCTCTTGTCCGGGTTCGAGTAGTACAAGAGGTGGCGGCGGGCGACGGGGTCGGCCTTGCCTGGGAGCGGGCGGCCCTTGAGGAAGAAGGACTCGGGGCGGATGAGGGCGCGCTGTGTGTGGGCGAGGGGCGAGGGGCGAGGGGAGGGGCAGGGAGGGAGGGAGGGAGGGGAGGGCAAGGAGGGAGGTTAAAGGAGGGGAAGGTGGAAAGGGAGAGTCAGGTGCGGACGTTCCAGGAGGAGAGGAGAGAGGCGCGACTTACGAGCGTCAAGCGGTTCTCGTACCGGGCGACGAGGGTACCGCCGAGCTTCTCGACGGCCTTGATGGCCCTGTCGCTCGCCTTGGACACGACGATCTCGACGCCCTCGGCCGTAAAGTGCTGGGCGCCGTCGGCGAGGAGCTTTACGCCGTCGTGCACGCCGTGGACGCACCGGGTCTGGTACAGCTCGCGCATGGTGATGGGCCTCGAGGGGTCGATCAGGCCGCGGTCGATCCAGTGCTGCAGGCGCTCGAGGTTGAGCGGCACGAGGTTGTCGGCGTTGGGGTTGGTGAAGCCGCGCTTTGGGAAGGCGCGCGTGAGCGGGGTCTGGCCGCCCTCGAAGCCGGCTTTGAGCTTGCTGTTGCCGCTGCGCGCGCCTTGGCCCTTGTGGCCCCGACCCGAGGTGCCACCGCGACCGGAGCCGATGCCGCGACCGATGCGCTTGCGCTGCGAGGGAGGGGCGGGTTAGCGAGGCGGGGAGGGAGATGAGGAGGGAGGAAGGGGGAGGACAAGGAGGGAGAGGGGAGACGCACGTTGGACTTTGAGCCCGGGTGAGGAGCGAGGTTGCCGAGGTGGGTGGCGTGGGACGCGTACGAGCGCGTGGCGGTGGTGGTGCTGGTTGAGGGCGACGAGGACCACGAGCGAGAAGTTGCGGCGGCGAGGACGAGCGAGGGGACGGGGCGCGACGACGACGACGCAGCGTGGGTCGGTGCTGCGAGGGACAGTCGCTGGAAGGAGCGTGCGAGCGACATGGCTGCGGGTGAGGCTCTGTGGGAGAGGAGCGTCGCCCGGGAGGAGGAGAGGCGAGATGAGAGCGACTCTCGTCTCGCTCGACCTTGGCCCGCACCGACACTGCCACCATGGGAGCTCAGGGATCAAAGCCAGACCACGAGGCAACCCCCGACAACGCCGACCAGTCCTTCTTTGCCGCCCGCACCCAACCCGTCAACGTGCGCCCACCTCCTCTCCCTCCCCGACTCACCAACTGACCCCACCCTGCACCCCACGCACGCCCGACCAGTTCTCCGAGTCGCTCATCAACCACCTCCAGTCCCAGTCGACCACCCCGTCCTCGGCCGTGCCCGCCTCGCGCCAGCAGGCCCTCGACTCGCACATCCAGCAGCGCCTCGCCCACGAGCTCGAACGCCTCCGCGCCGACGAGCAGCACGTGCGCGACCAGATCGAACGCGCTCTCGAAAAGGAGAACCTCGACCGCGAGCAGCGCGGCACTGGTGACGGCGACGACGCAAAGGCGCTCCCCCACTCGGCGTCGCTCCTGCACGACCTCGGCGAGCTCGAGAAGCGCGCTCAGGCTGTCCGCAAAGAGCGCGCACAGACCGACGAGTGGCGCCAAGTCGACGTCGGCAAGGACGACCTCGCAAAGTGCTTCCGGTCCGTCCCTCCCTCCCTCTCTCTCCCACCATCACCGACTGACCCCCTCTCGCCTCGCACCGCAGGGACAACAAGGACACGCCCCTCGAGTGCCGCGACAAGGTCGAGGCCTTCAAGCGCGCCGTCGCCGGCGTCGAGTCGGTGCGTCCCTCCACCCTTCCCCTCCCTCCCTCCTCGCGCCCGAGCCTGACTGACCCCTCGCTCTCTCTGCGCCGCCGACAGTCCTTCTTCCAGACCATGAAGTCGTCCTAGATCATCCCTCCCCCGCGTAGACCCACTTCCCTTGCTCTCGCGCCTGCAATCCCAAGCTGTGCCTGTACCCCTCTCTCTCTCTCTCTCTCTCTCTCGTGCGCCCAAAGAGAGATCCACAAACACGGCCTCGTTACACTACCTGCGCGCTCTCGCGAACCCCGAAAGAGAGAGAGAGACGCTTACTCGAGCTGGGCAAAGGCATCGGTCGCCTCGACGAGCGCGCGCTCGATCCCGGCCTCGCCCGCCGAGTGCCCGGCGTCGCCGACCATGGTCTGCGGGTGTGCGTGCGAGAGCGAGTGTCAGTGAGTCAGTCGGGCTGTCGAGAGGGAGGGAGAGAGGGAGAGGAGAGGGAGGGAGCGAGAGGAAAAGAGAGAGGGAGAAGGAAAAGAGAGCGAGCGACGCACAAACTCGGCCTCGGGCCACGCACGGTGCAGGTCCCACGCCGTCTTGGCCGGGCACACGACGTCGTACCGGCTGCATCGTGCGTCGTCGGGCGTGCGCGCGCGAGGGGGGGGGGAGGCGTCAGGACGGTCGCGCTCTCGGGGTGCGTGCGGCCTCGAGACCGGGACACAGGCAGAGGGGGGTGGGAGAGAGGGAGAAGGAGGGAGCGGGGACGCACCCCTGCACAATCCTCGCTGGAATGTGGCGAATCCGGTCAATCTGCGCCTTCTCGAGCAGCCACCCGTCCCTCTCGAAGAAGCCCTTGTTGACAAAGTAGTGCGCCTCGATGCGCGCAAACGCGTCGGCGAACGCGGCGTCGTCGGCGCGCGACAGGTACTCCTCGTCGACCGCGAGGCGCGACGTGGCCATCTCCCACCGGGACCAGGCGCGGCCGGCTTGGGCCCGGACGGCGGCGTCGGGAGAGGTGAGGCGCTTGCTGTTTGCGAGGGTTGGTCCCGTGAGCGGGATCTCGATTGGATAACGAGAGAGTACGAGAGAGAAGGAGGGAGAGAGCGAGGACTCACTAGTACGCCTGGACCATGTCGCCGCGCTCGTCCTCCGGGATCGGCGCGACGTACTCCTCCCAAAAGTCCGGGAACAGGAACGACGTGCCAGGGCCCTGGTAGAAAAAGTCGAGCTCGTCGCGGCGCAGGGTAAAGATGCCGCGCAGCGTGAGCGACTTGACGCGGTCCGGGTGCGTCTGGGCGTACGCGAGCGAGAGCGTGCTCCCCCAGCTGCCGCCAAACACGTGCCACTTGTCGACCTTGACGTGCTCGCGCACCTTTTCAAAGTCGGCGACGAGGGCCCACGTGTCGTTGTCCTCGAGCTCGGCGGGCGGGAGCGAGTCGCCCGAGCCGCGCTGGTCGACGAGGATGATCTGGTACACGTCCGGGTTGAAGCGCCGGGCGTCCTTGGCGTCGCAGCCGCCACCGGGACCACCGTGCACGAAGAGGACGGGCTTGCCCTGTAGGTGCGAGGCGAGTCAGCTCGAGGTCGTGCGCGGTGAGGGGGAGGGCTGGGACGCACGCCTTCTTTGCCATACTGCTTGACGCTGATCTTGTGGCTGATCTGGTTCGAATTCGAGACTGGCAGTAGCTCCGTCTTGAAGGGCTGCGAGGCGTGCAAGGCGGGTCAGCGGCGAGCGAGGTGGGTGAGCGAGGCGAGTCGAGGTGGGGGAAGAGGGGAGGAGGAGGAGCGAGGGGAGGGACGGCGGACGCACCTTGATTGGCGGGTACAGCGACATCGTGCGGCGTTGAAGCAGGCTTGAGCTGGTCTGTAGGGAACGGCGGAGCTGTGAGAGCATGAGAGACGTGCTCGTCGTCGTCGTCTTCGCACCGCATGGTCGGCAACAACGGCTCACGACTTGCCCCATCTGCGGGCGCATACGGCAGATCATGGAGCTCCCAGGGCATGCAAGAGTACAGCGGTCAGCTTTCCTGGTCCGTCCCTGCCTCCCTCTTCCTCCCCTCCTCTCCGCCCTCGACTCGCACTGATGAGCCGTTCCTGCTCGCAACAGCGCCGCCCGCCGCTCGTGGACAGCTCCAGGCTCTGCAACGGTGCTATTTGTTGGCTCTGCGACCCTTGCGCGCCCGCTGCGAGGGCCAATTCGACGACCTGCTCTGCTTGCTCGCGCTTCGCCTCCTCGGACTCGCCTCGCTTGGCGATCGGTCCGCGGGCACCTCGCTGTCCGCGCTATCTTGCTCCTGTCCGTCGCGATGGTCCCCGCGCGAGCCCCGTTCCGTGCGGCTCCGCGGTGAATCCGAGCTCGGCGTTCCTCCGCTGGCGGCTCTCCCTCTCTTCCTCTCGTCAGCTACGCTTGCGCGCCATGTCGGTCACTGCGTTGGATGCTCTCGGTGTCGGCCTCATGGCGGCCGTCGTCGCCCGCAAAAGCGCGCACCTGCACGAGTCCACGCTTCCTCCCTTTGCCTTCGACGGTCCGTCCCCTCTCGTCCTCTCTCGTCTGCTCTTTCCCGAGAATCCAAACTGACCCGAACTCCCTGAATAGGCATGCTCGGCCTCGTCGCGCGCTACCTCGACCTCGTCAAGCATCACAACAAGGCGCTCCAAACCCACTCGGTGCACCTTTTGACCGACTCGCTCCTGTATGGCGACGCCGTTCCCGTCGAGATCCGCTTCGAGGCCGGCGACGAGTACCACCAGACACGCAAGGTCGGCCTGCAACTTCTCGACGACCTCACCGGCGGCAGCGAGGAGGTGGATCAGGAGGCCCGTGCGTCCCTCGTTCTCGTTCTCTCGACCTCTCGACGGCGTCCGCAGTCACCGGTACTGATGCTCGCACTTCCGCAGTCTCGGAGAAGGTCTACCGGTACCGCCACATCCTCGAGGAGGAGAAGCGCGTCCCCACGGACCGCGACAAGACGTTCGCGATCCAGCTCATCCCGACGACCGCCCTGCACCGCTTCGCATACAAGTACACGTTCGCCAACGTGAGCGTCCAGAGCGCGCGCAACCTCCCGCCGCACGACCTGCACCTGTCGAAGTTTCTCGAGGGCGAGTTGCGAAACCTCGACCTGCCGTCCCTCGACGTCCTTGTGCTCGACCCGACCTCGATCGCCTTCTGGGCGCTCGAGCACGTCGCGTCGAGCCGCAACGCGCCGTTCCACCTCCTGTTCCTCCTGCGCATCGTGCGCGCCCTCGAGACCGAGTTCGCCGACTGCGGCCTTTCCGAGGAATGGCTCGCGCCGGCGGCGTGGTACAGCTGCCTCGCGACGCTCTCGCCCGAGCAGGTGGGCGTCCTCCAGAAGGGCGTCAGGGCCGTCCGCAGGACCAAGGTCATCGAGGCGGTCGCTAGCTGGGAGGCGACCATGAGAGGTCGCCAGCTCGAGCCGTTCATGGTGCAGCGCTACAGAGCTGCGCTCGACCACTACGCCTCGATCGTCATCGTGCGTCCACCTCTCCCTCATCATCTCGAAGCGGGCGAGTTTCCTGACATCGACGGCCGTCGCAGACTACGACCGCCTTTGCCAAGTTTCTCGGCGAGGGCAAGATCGACCTCGAAAAGGCCCACCTCGTGCGTCCCCTCCTCGAATTTTGCGCCGTGCGCACGCCTGACCGCTGCTCTCCCGTCGAGCAGTACCCTTTCCTGCCGTCGACGTCCCGTCGTCCTTCTACGCCGTCGGCCGCGACGATGCGCAACGTCGAGGCGTACCACAAGCGCCGGCACGCCCACCACGTTTCGGTGCCCTGCCCCTCGTCGAGCCGCCTCAGCGACTGACCTACTGACTCATTTCCCTCGCACAGACCGTCATCGAAGAGCCCGACTCGGCCCGTGGCAGCGTGCACGGCCCCCACCCCGGCAACCGGCTCTCGATCGGGCCTGTGCGCCCTCAGGCCTCGCCTCGCACTCCGAGCAGGACCTGACACTCGCTCTCTTCCGCAGACCGACACCGAGCGCAAGTTGTCGACCGCCGAGTCTGACGCGTACGAGCCGCCGAGCGCTCTCGGGCCGAGCAGCATCGACCTGCCGTCGTGGTCGGAACCGAGCTCGCCGGCCGACTCCCGCCGTCCCTCTGCTGTGCGTCGAGAGCAGGGCTCGCCGTACGAGCCTGGGTCCCGTCGTGACTCGCAGGCCTCGGTCCGTCCTCCTCTCTCTTCTCGCCTTCCTTTCGAGCTTGTCACTGACTCTTCCTCGCTCTCGTGCTCGCTCAGGGGTACACTCACGAGCCCGGCGTGCGTCTCTCTCTCTCTCTATGTCTCTCTCTTCCCCTCCCCTCGTCCAGCCCGCACTGACACTCTCGCCCTCGGCAGCCGCCGATCAACTTCTTCGACCCGAGCCGCACGAGCAACTTGTGGCCGACGAACGAGGAGCTCTCGTCGATCTCGTCGCCGTCGTCGCCCGAGGTCTCGCCGAACCGGGTCCGCAAGAAGAGGTCGGCGCGCAACTTCTTCCGGCGGGGCTCAGAAGCATAAGGGTGGAACGATGCGGGTTTGACACACAGAAGGACGATGGTGCTGCAAGTAATACGATGGTCGAGTCTCGCGATGAGCGCCCAGAACGAGAGGACAAGCTCGAGGAGAGAGGGAAAGCGGCGACCTTCTCAACTTGCTCGCTCTCCAAAGATCGCTTTCCTCACACTCTGCGGCTCTCGAGAGACGCTGCCGGTCCGAGAGCGCTCAGCACACGGCGCGAAATTGTCCTTCTCCTCGTCTATAACGCGTACCACAGCGCGACGCCGAGCCAGCACACGACGGCCGGCCACGCCACCTCGCCCGTCTCGCTCACCGCCTCTGCGAGCGCCTGCCCGCCCCGTCCCGCCCACCCTTGCCCGCCCGACAGCCGCACGAACGGCGCCGCCGCCTTGCGCCACGCGGCGCGCAGGACGCGGTACACGGGCCTGAGCGCAGCGCGCAGCGGCGTGTTGCTCGCGAGGCGCTCGACGACGAGGGCCGGTACGCGAGCGAGGCGCGCCGAGAGCGAGTTGGCCGAGGCGCTGTGTCGGTGAGAGGACGGCGACGAGAGCGAGACGCTGCCCTGGGGCGAGGACGAGCCGCCCTCCCACAGCCAGACGCGGCTCACGCGCCGCACGTGCCCTCCCGGGCTCCTCCTCGCCGCCCCTCGCTCGTGCGCGAGCGGCAGCCCCGCACCTCCCGCTCCTCGCACAGCCGCCGCATGCTCCTCCTCCTCCTCGAGCAAGTCGAGCTCGTCCTCGTCGCTCGCTCCACCGCCGCCCGCCGCGCCGCCGCCGAGCCCAAACCCAACCGCGTCGAGGTGCGCCGTCCCGCCGAGCAAGCCCGGGAACTGGGCCTCGACGTCCTCGGCATCGGCGTCCTCCTCAGCCGCCGCGCCCGCACCCGCGCGCCGGGACCGGCCCGCCCCGACGCCGAGGAGCGTCGCGCTGAGCGAGCGCTTGTGGCGGTGCCCGGCGCCCGCTCCTCCTGCGCCGCCACCACCGCCGCCGACGCGCGGCGTGCTGCCGTTGGCGCGCGCGACGGCCGACCGGCGCGCGTGCCGCCGGCGCGAGCAGGCCGAGCGGGTGACGAGGGCGAGTTTCGGGACGAGGAAGAAGAGGAGGACCGAGAGGGCGAGCGGGAGGTACACGTGGAGGTAGGTCGCGATGGCGTCGGGCAGGAGGCAGTTGTTCTGCGTGTAGGTGAACGACATGGGCGCGTCGTCCTCGTCGTCGTCGGCGTCGGCGGCGGCGGCGGCGGTGGACGAGGCGGACGAGGTGCCGGCCGGCGGGAGCGGGCCGTACAGCGACAGGAGGTGGTAGCCCGGCCTGCGGACGCCCATGGCCATGCTGAACGCCTTGACGGTCGTCTCGGTGACGGGCGTCACGCCGTCGAGCGGGCTCGAGACGCCCTCGTGCCGCACGACGCAATAGTCGTGGTCGTCGCCCGAGTAGACGAGCGAGGGCCGCACCGTGCGCAGCAGGTACTGCGACGCGCGCGAGTCGACCTCGTTCTGGTAGTTGCGCCCGGCGCCCTGGTGGATTGGCCGCGAGTGCTCGCGCGAGCGGCCGCACGACGTGCCCTCGGGGCGGTACAGCGGAATGTGCGTGAGGAGGATCCGAGGCGCCGTGACGGGACCTGCAGGAGGGCGCGAGTCAGTGGATCTGTCGAACGACTCGACGTCGGCAAGGCTGCCCCCGAGAGGCGGTCCGTGCGACGAAGCGAGAGTAGGACGCACCTCGTCCGAGCTCCTCGAGCCAGCGCTTCATGTCGCCGTACTGCCCACCGCCGTCCGTGTCCCAGAACTCGTCCTCGAGCAACGCCATCGAGTCGATCCAGGCCACCTCCCACCCGTTCCACTCTCGCAGGCCCCACGTCGGGCCAAACGCGTCGCGGAACCGCTCGCGGCCGTACGCGGCGAGCAAGGTCGACGAGCGGTGCAGGCCGAGGTCGTGGTTGCCCGGGACGATGATCGAGGGGATGGGCGGCACGAGGGCGGACGACGACGCGGCGCGCGAGGACAGGGATGAGAAGGACGAGGTCGAGGCGCGAGGGAGGGGGAACAGGAGGTGGAAGCGGTGAACGAGCGAGGCGTACCTGCAGAGCGGTCGAGGTTGAGAGGGGGAGAGGAGGAGAAGGAGAGTCAGTGACGGCGAGGAGAGCGCGAGAGAGAGGAAGGGCGAAAGGTGGACGCACTCTCGCTGGTCGACCGTGTCGACGCCCGAGTCGAGCAAGTCGCCGAGCCACACGACGGCGTCGACCCCTCCACCGCTCTTGCCCCTGCTCAACCGCGTGACGACGGTCCACGCCTTGCGGGCGTACGCGTCCGAGATGCGCACGCCGAGCCAGCGCAGGGCCCAGTTGCGGCCCGGGTAGCTCTTCATGTCGAGGAGCTGCGGGTCGGCGACGACGAGGACGTGGAAGGGCGCACCGCGGCGGTCGCCTCGGGCGAGGGCGTCGCGCCAGCGCGAGTCGGCGGTCCAGCCGCCCGCGCTCGAGCCCGACGCGGTGCCGAGGGTGCCGTCCCACACGCGGCCTTTTGCCGAGGGCGTGTCGTCAAAGCCGCAGCCGTACGAGGCGGCGAGCCTAAACGAGAGGTGCTCGGACCACAGGACGACGAGGACGACGAGGGCGCGGACGAGGTGGACGACGAGTCGAGGGAGCGGGGCGGTCAATGTGGTGCGCCGTCGTCGCGGGACCGACGCGAGAGAGGGTTTGCGAATGACGGGCGACGACACGACCCTGTGTACGTGGTTGTTGAGCGGTGAGCTGTCGGACGAGCGTGGAGCTCCGAGGAGAGGGGAGAAGGGCGACGACGAGCTGGCGGGCGCACCTGTTCATGTTGGCAGAGGCTCGAGGTGCCGTCTCGGTCTAGGCGAGTCTAGTACAGCGCAGGGCGTCGTCTCGGAGGAGCGGCTGAGGGTCGGCGGCCGGGCGATGAGGGCGGTCAAGCTGGACGCCTCGCCGAGGTTGCGGGATGGCCGGAACGAGTGTCGATGGAGCTGGAGAAGGACCTGGTACCAGCCAGAGTGCCGCACGAGGTTGTCGCTCGAGTGGGACGAGCGGTCAAGGTGTCGTCGTCGTCGGCCCACACTCTCGCTCTCCTCCACCCTCGACACCGCTAAGGTCGCCTGTTCACGAGCTAAGAGCACTCGAGTAGCTGCCCTCAACATCCTAGAGCAAGCGCGACTCGCCCCGTCGTCCTCCCGCCACCCCCCTCTCCCCCTCGATCGACAGCCGCCTTGAACGTCGTCTCCCCACCTCTCTCCCTCCCTCTCCCTCGCTCGCCATGGCCGACTCTCCCTCGTCGCCCCTCCTCGGCACCGCCTTCCTACTGTCGCAGTCCCACGCCTCGTCGTCGACCCAGCACCGCCTCCCCATCACGCCCTCGCTCTGCGCCGACTATACCTCGTTCCGCCGCGCCCTGGACCAGTCTCGACGGGTCTCGGACGACCCCGTCTCGGTCCGCCTCAACCGCGCAGCCGCACTCGGCGGCGGCGCCGTCTCGGGCCGCGGCGCGCGCGAGATGGGTCCGCGCGAGTGCGACGACGTGTGGCGCGAGTTGACGGGGAGGTGGGCAGAGCGAGGGGACGTCATCTCGTACTGCGACCGTGCGCTCGCAGAGACGGCCGCGCAGGGCAAGCAGGCCGCGAGGGCGTCGGACGAGGTGCGGGACTTGAGCGCAGACTGGAAGGAGCGCGGCAGGGGCCTGCAGGACGAGCGCGAGGCACAGGTGCGTCTGCTCGTTCTCCTTTACGTTGTTCTCGAGGTCGACGTCTTGCCAGAGGACGACACGACTGACCTCACCCCCTCGCCCACCTCCCTCCTCGCCTCCCGAACAGCGCTCCCGCCTCTCCACCGAGCTCTCGATCGAGTCGATCATCCGCGCGCGCTCGCTCGCCCTCTTCCGCTCGCGGTGTCCCTCGCACCTGATGGACGACCCGCCCGCACCGGCGCTCCCGAGGCTGCTCGGCGCCGAGGAGGAGGAGGAGGAGCGCCGGAGGAGGAGGGGGAGGGACGAGCGCGGGAGGGTGAGGTGGACTTGAGGGGGCTGCGAGGGCGAGCGCGTGGGCACGGGCGTGGCGCGAGGGCACGGGCGTGGCGCGAGAGGGCGAGGAGGCTAGAGCGAGGACGTCGAGACGAGGAGGAGCTCGTAGACACGAGCTGGTAGTATTGCCGGGCTAGACCGCCACAGGCGACTTCCGCAACCAAGCATTCCCCACTCTCTCGATGCCGCAGAAGCCTGCAACCGATCGTCTATGCAGAGGAAAGGACGTCTACCGCAAGCCGCCGTCGCGCGAAATCAACTCGAGCATCGTCTCGACCGCAGGCGACACGGGACCTGCACACGTGCGAGCGACGAGAGTCAGAGAGAGGCACTTGCGCACGGTCGAGAGAGAGAGGGGACGCACCGCCAAAGCCGGGTTCCTCGAGCTCGGCCTCGAGCTCGCCGTCAAACAGCTTGCGCAGGCCGTTGACGAGGACGCCGATCCTGGGCCACGCGCGCAGGTGGACCCACTGCTCCTGCTTGGCGCCGAGGTGCACCGTCACGCCGCGGTCGAGCTCCATCGAGATGCGGCCCGACGAGAAGAGGAGGAGCGCGTAGAGCGGGACCTGCGTGGCGCAGGAACGAGGCGTGAGCGCGTGCTCGACGAGAGTGCGAGAGAGAGAGAGAGACACGACGACGACGCACCTCGTTGGCGTCGCGCAGGAAGGGCTTGGTCGTGACCTGCTTGTTGAAGAACGTGATGAATGGCGACGCGAACTTGTTCTCCTCGAACAGGAGCGACCCAGGGTGGAGGAAGACGCGGCCTGCGCGGTCAAGGAGAGAGAGAGAGTCAGGGCCGCCCCAGGAAGCGAGGGCAGAGGTGGACGCACCTTCAGGCTCGTAGAACTTGACCTCGCGGCTCTCGCGCTCGCGCTCGATGGCGCCCGAGATGCCCTTGTCGAACACGGCCTTGGGCAGCTTGACGCGCACGAGCCTCGCCGTGCCGGCAAAGATGATGGCCTTGAGCAGGTTCTCGTTGTCGCTGTTGGTGTTGAACACGGCGTCGTCGGGCCGGACCCGGAGCGGGACAAAGCCGACCGAGGACAGCGCCGACAGGTAGTCGGTGCGCAGCGACAGGACGTCGCGGAACGTCGACGACGAGATAAAGTTCTGCGGGAGACGCACAGCGTCAGGGTAAGGTTGGGACGAGGCGCGAGGGAGGGAGATATGAGACGCACGTCCTGGGTAAAGTTGCGCAGCGCCGCGTGGCCGTCTTTGCGCACCGCCATGCACGTGTCGAATGCCTTTGCGTCGCTCAGGAGGTCCGACTTGCCCGTGTAGAACGCCGAGCGGGCCCTGTAGAGAGAGAGAGAGTCGGCCCAGCGACAGGAGGGAAAGGCAAAAGAAGGAGGAGGACGCACTTCTTGGCCTGGTTGCGCTGCTCGAACGGGTTGAGGAAGAAGGGCTTGCTCGACAGGATGGCGACGATCGTGAGGATCTGTGTAGAGGGCACATCCGTCAGGACGCTGTCACAGGCGAGCGAGGACGAGGGAGGGACGCACCGGGTCGAGACAGCGGAAGACGGCGGCGAGGACGAGCATCTGCAGGCGGCGAGATCGTCAGTACCGAGTCTCGGGGCTGTAGGAGACACAGGAGGCTCGCCTTGGCCAGTCGCACGTCCACCGGGATCATGGCGAGGTGCATGCCGAGCGGCGTCAACCTCGCGCTCAGGCCCTCGCCCTTGACGCCCTCGCCGCCGTCGCTCTGCACGGCGCCGAGCATCTTGAGCGTAGCCCACGCGCTCTCGATCGCGCGCACGTCGGGCGGGTCGAGCGCCTTGCCGAGGTAGTCGCGCACGTCGGCTGTCGGCCGGGTCGACTTGATCTGGAGGAGGAGCGCCTCGAGCGGGGTGCGCTGGATCTCGGGCGTCGGCTGAGGCTGCATGACGTTCTCCTCGGTATAGTGCGTGAAGAGCTCTGCGGGGCCGACTGTGGGTCAGTACGAGGAAGACCGAGAGGCGGGAAGGAGGGACGCACTGAAGCATTGGCCGGGACGAGTGCGACCGGCGCGACCGCGCCTCTGCCGACACCCTGCTCGCGACGTCCACTCCTCCTGGAGCTTGGTGATGCCCGTCTCGGGGTCGAACGCGTTGACCTTGGCGCGCCCGCAGTCGACGACGTAGATGATGCCGTCGATCGTGATGGACGTCTCGGCGACGTTGGTCGCGACGACGATCTTGCGCATGCCGCGCGGCGTCGGGCGAAAGACGGACGTCTGCTCTTGCGACGTGAGGTTGGCGTGAAGCGGGAGGACGAGGAGCGACGAGAGCTGCGACCCTGGGACCGCCGCACGGATCGCCTCGATGGCTCGCGTGATCTCGAGGACGCCGGTCATGAAGACAAGGACGTCGCCGCCGATGTCGCGCGACATGTCGAGGCAGTGCGCGACGGTGGCGCCGACTAGGCCAAAGTCGATCTTGTCGGCGCGCACGGCGAGCTCGAGGGCTTGCAGAGCCCGGACGTCGTTGCCGCTGACGCCGCGATCGATGAAGCTGGTGCGCATGCGGTCGAGCTGGGCCTGCGTCGCCTTGCGCGCCGGCTTGCCCGACGGCTTGTAGGCGTTGCTCGACAGCAGGGACGGCAAGTACTCCTCGAGGTAAAAGTCCTCGACCGGGTGCGTGAAGCTGTGAGTGCGGGTCGTGGGTCAGGTCAGGTGCGTGGGTAAGACGCTCGACGCAAGCCGACGAGGAGAGAAGGCAAGGAAGAGGGGACGCACCCGGGAATCTCGATGACGGGCGCGCCGCCAAAGTAGTCGGAAAACTGCTTCTGGTTGATCGTGGCCGACATCTGCAGGTGCCGCAGAGCGTCAAGGTCGAGCTCGAGGAAGGCGAGAGGAGAGAAAGGGAGACCGGGACGCACGAGGATGACCTTGATGGTCGGGTTGCGTCGGAGGATGTCGCGCAGCTCGAGGAGGAGAAAGTCCGAGTCGACGCTGCGCTCGTGCACCTCGTCGATGAAGATGTGCGACACGCCCTGCAGGTCCGGGTCGCCGCCTCGTCCAAGCCGAGCGAGCACGACGCCGGTCGTGCAGAAGAGGGCCCTCGTGCCCGGACCTGCTCGGCGCTCGCCGCGGATCGCGTACCCGACGAGGTTGGACGCGAGCGGCTGGCCCGACGGCGACAGGTCCTCGCAGCGCTCGGCGGCGACACGAGAGGCGACGCCGATGGCGCTGACACGGCGAGGCTGCGTGACGACGATCGAGGTCGTCGCACCCTCGCAGCGCATGATGGCGTCCTCGAGGACGAACGCCGGGACTGCGAGAGAGAGAGAGGGTCAGTGCACGCACAGGGACAATTCGAGACCGAGAGCGGGAAGGACCGAGCGACGCACCCTGGGTCGTCTTGCCGGAGCCAGTCTCGCCGCAGACGATGACGACGCGCTCGTTGCGGATGAGGTCGACGATCTTGTCGCGCATGCTCCACGCCGGGAGGCGTTTCCTCCCCTCGAGCATGCGGCGGTACCCCTCGGTGCGACAGAGCTCCTCGTGCGCGCGCTTGACCGCCTCCTGCTGCTCCGGGCTCGCACGCAGGCGCTTGGGCCCTCCTCGCCGCTGCGCCTGCTGCGTCTTGGTGACCCTCCTCGCGCCCTCGCCGCCCGCCGCGAGCGACGACGCGCTCGGGCGCTGCGCGGGCGGCACGAGGCGGTCCATGACCTCGCGCGCGTCGGGCGGGTGCTCGACCGCCGAGCGGACGCGCTGCTCGAGGAACGACACCATCTCGCCGACGACGCCGCCGTAGCCCGCCTCGGCGAGGTCGAGCCACGCCGAGCCGTCCTGGGCGACCGAGGGGCGGAACTGGGTCGCGAGGAGCGTGTGGAGGTGCAGGCGGATGTAGGGAGGCAGCGTCGGCGAGGCGATGAAGAAGGAGGGGAGGGCAGCCGGGCCGGGCGGCGAGTGCGGCGACGGGTACGACGACGACGGGTGGAACAGGACGCGGAGCGAGACGCGGTCGCCCTTGTGCGGGACGGCGATCTCGACGCCGTCCTTGCTGCGGCGGAACCGCGAGCCGAACAGGCCCTCGAGCCCGAGCAGCTCGTCGTCGCGCCGCTGTCGCAGCTCGTCCTTCTCCTCCTGCGAGAGCCTCGACGGGCCCGCGCCGCCCGACCCGCCCCACGACGCCCGGAGCGCGTCCTCGCCGAGCTTGTCGCGCTCGTCCTCGTCGGCGTCGAGCGGCACGTCCATGAGCCGCCGCGCGAGCACGTCGACGACCATACCCTCGAGCTCGTCGTCTCGCGCCCCCTCGCCCGCCGCCTCCCTCGCGCCCTCGAGCTCGCGCCGCACCCACTCGACCGGCGCGCCGACCTCCCTCGCGACCCGCTCGGCCTGCCACATGCGCCCGAGCTCGCCCGCATCGCGGCTCGTCGCGTTGCGGATCGTCGCGTCGGCGGGGCGCGCGTCCCGGAACGCGGCGGGCAGGTCCGACTCGGGCACGAGGAGGTGCAGGTGCGCGAGGACGTCGTTGCGGCTCGGCGGCGCCACTGCGGCGCTCGAGGATGAGGACGAGGACGAGCCGCTGCGCACGTACGCGAGCGCACGCAGGACGTGCCCGCGGCGGAACCCGAGCGAGGTGAACTCGGCTTCGAGGGCCGCCTCGGCGGGCGAGCGCGTCGGCGTCGCGGCGCCCGAGCCGGGGCCCGAGCCCGCGCCCGTGCCGTCGTCCGGCTCGGCGGCGTGGTCGTCGACGGCGGTGCTGGCGCCGTCGAGCTCGAGCGAGGCGAGGTTGGGGAGGGCGTCGCGGATGGTGCGCTCGACGAGGTCGCGCAGAGCCGAGGGCATGCGCACCTCGGGCGCCTCGGCCCACGACTTGGGGAGCGGCGTCGGGGTGGACGAGCGAGAGGTGGACGGGGTCGAGGAAGACGACAGGTTGACGAGGGGCGAGCCGTTGCGAGGCTGGCGGGTCGAGGTCGAGCCGTTGCTGCCGGCGGGTGCTGCGGCTGCAGTGGCGGCGGATGGCAGTGGAGGAGCTGCGGCGGCCGTCTCGAACGGCGTCGTCGACCACAGCCACTGCTTGTTGGGCGTCGACGCGGCCTTTTCCTTCTCGAGGGCGGCCCAGTACTCTGTGCGGCGGGTCAACAGGTCAGTTGAGAAAGCGCGAGAGGGCCGGAGCGCTGCGACGACGACGACGCCGACGACGAGAAGGGACGAGGACGAACCGCGAGTCGCCGGCGGGAGCTGCATGTTGAGGCGCAGGTTGTTGGCGATGCGGAACAGGGCGTAGACGGCGACCCAGTGCTTGGCCTCCATGGCGTTGTGCTTCTCGACGGCGATCTGCGACGGCGGCGGCGGCGGCCTCATGTAGACCGTCTCGAGCTCGCCGGGCTTTTTCGGGTGCTTGCGGCGCAGGGTGACGCTGGCCGTCCAGGTTCCGGGGGTCGTGCCCTGCTTGGGGTCGACGAACGGGCGCTCCCAGCCGGCCTTCTGGCAGCGCTCTTGGAGGAGCGAGATGGGCGTCTTGTAGCCGATGGCTGCGGTCACAGGGCGAGTGTCAGCGTGCGTGGAGGAGGGAAGGAGAGAGGCGAGGAGAGGAGAGTCGGACGAACGAAAGAGGGGAGGAGGAGGGGGCGTCTCGCCTGGTGCGAGGGCAGGCTTGGTCGAGGTGGACGAGTTGCCCGACTTGACGATGCCGACTGGGGCCTTCCTGCGAGGCTTGGGCTTGTCGGCTGCGGGTGCAGGAGGCGGTGGAGGAGGAGCGGCCTTCTTGCCCATGGCGGCGTCGACGGGCTTGGCCGAGGCGTGTAGGGTGTTTGTTGAAGGCTCGTCGAGCTAGCTAGCTGTAGACGCAAGCTGCTGGTGGTGAGCAACGAGGACAAGTGTGATCGGCCTCCTGGTCGTCCTCCGCGCCGGTCCGCGACTTGGGCCACCAACGCTCGCCTCAGTCTCGCTGAGCAGCTAGAGCTCGAGTGCGCACAGCTACAGCACTCGCACCGACCCGCCATGTCGCAACCACCGCCGGCCCCAGGCCATGGCGCGGGAGCTCAGCCGCCGCCAGCTGGAGCAGCAGCACCCCGCCCGCCTCAGCCCTACGCCCAGCAGCCTGCGCCAGCCAAACCAGGACCACCAGCAGCAGCACACTCGCCCGCACCTCCTCAGCCCCAACAGCCCCAGCAGCAGACGCAGCAGCAGCAAGCCTCGTTCCGCCCGCTCAACGTCCGCGGTGCGCCCCCTCTGCCCTCATCTCTCTCGCCCCGACAGCCACCAGTGGACCTGACACTGCCTTACACCGCGCACAGATGCCCTCCACTACCTCGATCGCGTCAAGCAGCAGTTCGCCAACGAGTACGAGGGTCAGTCCACCCGTCCTCCTCTCCAACCCCCGGCCCCGCTCGGCAGCGAGCGCGTCCCTCGGGTCTTGTAGCTCTGGTTGGGTGCTGACATCGCTCTGTCCTCCCTCGCACACAGTCTACGACCAGTTCCTGACGTGCGCCCACCCTCCTCGACCATCCGCACCTCGTTCCCCCCGCACACCCGGACCTGACCCTCGCTCGCTCGCTCGCAGGATTATGAAGGACTTCAAGACGCAGAAGTGCGCCCTACTCGCCCTCCTCGGCCTTCTCTCATAGCGACACTGACCCTCTCGTCGCTCTCGCAGCATCGACACGCCGGGCGTCATCGACCGCGTCTCGAACCTGTTCCGCGACCACCCGTCTTTGATCCAGGGCTTCAACACGTTCCTCCCGCCGGGCTACCGCATCGAGTGCCACGTCGCGCCCGGCTCGACCGGCGGCGCCGCCGGGTCCAAGACCAACACGATCACGGTCACGACCCCGATGGGCATCACGACGCGCACCCAGAACGTGTCGAGCTCGACGCCCCTCTCGACCGGCGCCGCACCCTCGCCTGCCGGTGCAGCTCCCTCGCCGTCGGCTCCTGCCGCCGCGAGTCTCCCGCCGCGCTCGGCCGCCGCACCCGCACCCGCATCCACCGCCGCCGCCCCTGCGCCAGCCGGCTCGAGCCTCCCTCCCGCTCGCCTTCCTCCCCTCCCGCACGTCCGCACCGCCCAGCCACCGCGGCCCATCTCGCCCCCGGCCCCGATCCCGCCCTTTGGCGGCAACCGCACCCTCGCCGCCGACAGCTGGCGCCAGCCACAGCAGCAGCCGGCGGCGTCGGCCAAGTCGCCCGCGCAGGCCCAGGCGCACCCGTCGTACCCGGGCCAGGCGGCGAGGCCGCCGGCTGCGGGCGCGGGCACGGCCAAGGCGTCGCAGCACCCGGCTTACGGGCACGCCCAGCAGCAGCAGCAGCAGGACGTCAAGCCGGCCGTGTCCGGCGAGGGCGGGGCGCACGGCCAGTCGGCGCAGCACTCGCACGCCTCGACGCCGTCGACGCAGCAGCAGCAGCAGCAACCCGCCGCCATCGCCGCCGCCGCTGCTGCTCAGCCCTCGCCGACGCCCCAGCCGGCCGCCGCCGCCGCCGCCGCCTCGCCAGCTGCGACCGCCGCCGCCGCTCCGGCGCCGCAGATGGAGTTCAACCACGCGATCAACTACGTCAACAAGATCAAGAACCGGTTTTCCAAGGACCCCGAGACGTACAAGACGTTCCTCGAGATCCTCCAGACGTACCAGAAGGATCAGCGCCCGATCCAGGAGGTGCGTCGTCGCTCGCTCTCCCTCTCTCCCTTCTCTCCTCACCTCGAGCGACCAGCTCACGCGCCTCTCGTACGTGCTGTCGCAGGTCTACACGCAGGTGACGGCGCTCTTCAAGGAGGCGCCCGACCTCCTCGACGAGTTCAAGGCGTTCCTGCCCGACACGACGGGCGCGACCGACCCGGCACCGTCGCCCGCCCTCGCGCACAAGAAGCCGTACGGCAACCCCAAGCTCGGCGCGTTCCCGCCGACCGCCGCCGGCGCCGGCTCGGCGGCGGGCCAGGCCAAGCCGGGCGCGCCGAACGTCGGCGTCGGTACGGCGTCGGGCGCCTCGGCGTCGTCTGCCGCCGGCACCGCCGCGGCGGCAGCCGGTGGAGCGCCCGAGAAGAAGAAGCGCGCGGCGCCGGGCACGAGCGAGAAGGCCAAGGCCAAGCGCGCAAAGATGCAGCACGTCCAGGGCGTCGAGTCGCCGCCGATCGGGTCGGCGGCGGCGGCGGGGCAGGGCCCGGGCGGCGTGCAGCAGCAGCAGCTCAAGGCGTCGTCGTCGCAGCAGCAGGTTCAGCAGCAGCAGCAGCAGGTCGAGCAGCCGCCCGTCTCGCCGTACGGCGCGCCTCCCGCATCGGCCGCTGCGGCTGCCGCCGCCGCCGCCGCGCACATGGGCCACGCGCACCCGTACGGCGCGCCGCCGCCGGGCTTCCCCGGCGCGCCCCTCATGCAGTCGGCGTACGACGTCTACCTCGCGCAGCACCGCAACCCGCCCCTGGTCCAGCCCGACGAGTTTGGGTTCTTTGACCGGGTCAAGAAGCACCTCGACGACCGCGACGCCTACACCGAGTTCCTCAAGCTCCTGAACCTGTTCACGCAAGAGATCATCGACGTCCAGACGCTCCTGAGCAAGAGCCTCCTCTTTATCGGCGGCGACGACCACCTCGTGCAGCAGTTCAAGGACCTCGTCGGGTGGGACCCGGTCACGGACGGGCGCGTGCGCGGCGAGGACTGGGTCATCGACAACGAGCCTGTGCTCGACCGGCCCCGCGTCGAGCTCCACCTCCTCAAGAGCTACGGCCCGAGCTACCGCAAGCTTCCCGACTCGGTGAGCTCCCTCCTCTCTCCCTACTCTATCACCGGAAACCTCATCTGACTCTCTCGTTTGCGCCACCTTGCAGGAGGTCGACCTCGCCTGCTCCGGCCGAGGCCCGCTCGAGTGGTCCGTCCTCAACGACGAGTGGGTCGCGTTCGCCACGTGGGCGTCCGAGGGCTCGGGCGCGCACCGCAAGAACCCGTACGAGGAGGCCCTGTACAACTCGGAGCAGGAGCGCCACTGGTACTCTTACCACCTCGAGTCGATGGCGCGCACGATCGCCTACCTCGAGCCCATCGCGGCGCGCCTCGCCCTCATGCCCTCGGACGAGCGCGCCGCGTTCAAGCTCGGTGCCGCGAGCGCCGCCGGCGCGCACGACGACGCCGTCCCCGCGGGCGCCGGCATGATTGGCGGCACGGCGCCGAGCGTGTACGAGCGCATCGTGCGCAAGATCTACGGCAAGGACCACGGGTGGGAGATCCTCCAGGCGCTCGAGGACAACCCGGCCGTCGCCGTCCCGATCGTGCTCGCGCGCCTCAAGCAGAAGGACGAGGAGTGGAAGAGGGCCGAGCGCGAGTGGAACAAGGTGTGGCGCGAGGTGGTGCGTCTCTCCTTTTCTCTCTCTCTTTCTCTCTCTCTCTCCTCGGCGGCCACCTCTCAACCCGACCCGAGTTGACCCTCCCCTCTCCCACCCGCAGGACGCCAAGAACCACTACCGCGCGCTCGACCACCAGGGCATCCCGTTCAAGGCGATCGACAAGAAGACGACGACGACGAGCAAGTCGCTCACGGCCGAGATCGAGTCGCTGCGCCGCGACAAGCAGATGAAGCGCTACGACGTCCCGGGCCACGCCGTCCCGCAGCACCCGTCGCAGCCCGTCGCCGCCGTCACGCACCCGACCGACGCCGTCGCCGCATCCCTCCCGCCGCCGCTCCGCCCTCGCCACCAGTTCGAGCTCCACATGGCCAACCGCGGCGTCCTCTTCGACGTCCTCAAGCTCACCCTGTCGTACCTCGACCGCGACGCATCGGGCTTCTCGGCCCCCGAGCGCGCCCGCGTCGAGGCCTTCCTGCGCCTGTTCGTCCCGCTCCTGTGGGGCATCGGGCACGACGCGATGGAGGCGGCGCTCGGCGCGGCGCAGCACGACGACGCCGACGTCGACGAGGACGAGCTCGAGACCGAGGCGGGCGACGCGACCGACGCCGACGAGAGCGGCGTCGAGAACGCGAGCGAGGCGGGCGGCTCGTCGACGCCTGGACCGGGCTCGGCGACGACGACCGCGACGGCGACGGCGACGGCGGGCAAGAAGGCGGCGCCGCCGACCAAGCGTGGCGGAGCGGCCGACCTCCGCCGTCGCACGCTGCTGCACGCCGCGCTCGCGCAGCGGCAACCCGGCGCCGGCGGCAACGGTGCGGCGACGACCAACGGCCGGGTCGGCGGCGGTGGGCGAGGCGGCTCGCCGGCGACGGACGGCTCGGACGACGACCTCGGTCGGCTCGTCGAGGCGACGTGGATCTCGCTCGAGGAGACGCGCGAGGACGGGTCGGCGGTCGAGCCGCCGAGCGGCGACGAGGTGCTCGAGCCGAGACGGTACAGCTTCTTCGCCAACTCGACCTTCTACTGCCTGGTCCGCGTCATGCACGTGCGTCTCGCTCTCTCTCCCTCTCCGTCTCTCTCCCTCTCCCTCTCTCTCTGTCTCTCTCTCGCGAACGCTCGTCCAGCAGTGCCTGACGCTCTCCTCACCTGCAGCAAATCTACCACCGCCTCCTCGCGTTCAAGCAGCTCTCGGCCGACCTCGCCGCGTCGTCCGCCAGTGCCCGTCGCCTCAACCCGCTCGGCGTCGAGCTCGGCCTCTCGACGCCTGTCCCCGTCGTCGACACGGGCGACAACCCGGCCGAGCACTACTACGAGCACACGCTCGACCTCGCCGAGAAGCTGTTTGACGGCGACGTCGACCAGCAAACGTACGAGGAGCAGCTGCGATTCATGGCCGGCATCCGCTCGTACCCACTCTTCACCCTCGACAAGCTCGTGTCGACCGTCATCAAGCACGTGAGTCGCTCGTCGTCGTCTCTCTGTCTCGCTCGTCGTCCTCGTCGTCTGACCCTGTCCTTCTCGCCCCTCGCCCAACCGCAGATCCACACGATCAACTCGGACAACCGGTGCCAGGACATTGTCGCCCTGCTCGAGAAGGACCGGCGGCAGCTCGTCACGACGCCTCGGCAGCAGATCGCGTACCGCATGGAGGTCGAGTCGGTCCTCAACCCGGACGAGAACCTGTACCGCCTCGAATGGGTCCGTCTCTCTCTCTCTCTCTCTTCGTCTCACCTGTGCGTCGCAGCAGCACGTACTAACTCTCGAGCGTCGCGCAGATCCCGGACGACGAGGCGCTCACGATCCAGCTCCTCGGCAAGGAGGACCTCACGCTCGACGACGCGCACCAGTCCGAGGCCAAGCTCCACCAGAGCTGGCTCGCGTCGTTCCAGCTCACGTCGCCGAGCGAGGGCATCGGTGCGCAGGTCAAGGCGCCTCTGCTCAAGCGGTCCGTCCCTCCTTCCTCTCGCTCTGCCCTCTCGCGAGACCGACCTGACCTCGACCTCGCACCCCCTCGCAGCAACCGCGTGCTGTGCGCCGCCGAGGACCCGCAAGAGTTCGACCTGGCGCCCGGCCTGCAGGCCAAGGAGCGCGCGTACCGCCTCCTGTGGGTCAAGGGCAGCGAGTGCGTCGGCGATCTTTCTCTCTCTCTCCCACCTCGGCCCCCCGACTGACCCTCTCGCCCGTTCCGCGCCTGCAGGGACTACCTGCGCCGACTGCGACCGCCGCCCCCCGCCGCCGCCGCCGCTGCCGCCGAGGACGACGAGGACTCGCCCGCCGAGTCGTCCGAGGCACTTGCGAGGCGGCGGTCCGAGCGGTTCCAGGCGTGGGTCGACGAGCAGCTGTTCCCCGAGCGGCGCGAGGAGCGCCAAGCCGAGTCGGACGAGGACGACGAGGCTGCTGCTCGCGGCGACGAGCTCGAGGGCGACGAGCTCGAGGCAGAGGCGGTCGAGCTCGAGGAAGGCGAGGAGGTGGAGGCGGGCGAAGCGCGAGGCGCGGTTCCGTCCGAGGGTTCGCCGCCGGCAGCGTCGAGCGGCGTCGCGGACGCGGCAGCAGGAGGAGGGGACGGCGACGTCGAGATGGACGAGACTTGAGTAGACGAGTGTGTCCAGCGTTGCTACAGTTCCGAGTGCGCACGAGCCTGCTCAGTCGAATGGGGGTGGAGGATAGACGGTCAGACTTGCGAGCCGCAGCCCACAAGGATTCGGAGAGCTCTCTCGAGTTCGACCTCCTCCCAGCTCGCACGCCCTGTCCACCGACGCAGAGCCCGACACAGCGCGCTTTCCTCACGACGCTCACGACGACGAGCTAGCGCGAGCACCAGCTGCTCTGCCCCTCGCGCCTCGCTCCGCCTGCCTTGGCCATGGCGTCCACCGCACCGCCATTGTCGCCACCGCCCGCCGTCTTCACCCTCGACGCGCCGGCCGGCGTGGGCGTCCTGCGCACCAAGGCCATCGCCGGGCGCGTCTTTACCCCGTACGCGCTCAGCGACTGGGCCGAGTGGCTCGCTTGCAACGCCCGCAGCGAGCGCGTGGGCACCGCCGCCGAGGTGCCGGCGACTGTCCGAGCCGCACTCGCGCAGCCGGCCGACCCTGCGCTGCTCGACGTCGAGCCGACCTACTGCAACAGCTATCTCGGGCGAGCGGCGACACCTGAAGAGCGTGCGTCCCCTCTTCCTCTCCTCCTCCACCCACCTCCCTCGGCGTCGACCTCGTCCACTGACCGACGCCTCTCCTCCCCTCGGCCTGGCCTTCCACCCCTACAGAGCTCGAGTTCTTCGCGCGCAACGGCTTCCTCCCTGCACCTCCATCGCCCAACGAGAAGGAGCGCCTCAAGCTCATCCGCGCCCACAACCTCGACGGTGCGTCGCCCAGTCCTCCTTCTCGTGCCCAACAGCATGGCCCTGACCTTCTCTACCACGCAGACCTGCACATGCGCGACTCGGTGACCGACATCTGCGAGCTCGCGCGCGCCTTCTTCCCCGAGGACGTGACCGCCGCCGCGTTCGCCGTCACCGAGCAGTTGTCGCTCATCATGGGCCTCTCGCGCGCCGCCGACGACAACGCCGAGTGGGAGCGCATCATGAGCGAGATGGACCCGTCGTGGTGCCTCGGACGGCACACGCTCGCCCACGAGGACGGCCTGTTCGTCGTGCTCGACGCCGAGCAGGACTCGCGGTACAAGAACAGCCCCATGTTCCAGCCGGGCAGCATCCGCTTCTTTGCCGCTGTCGCCATCAGCCTGCCGACGGCCTCGACGAGCAAGGACTCGCCGCCCGCGATGGTCCCGGTCGGCATCCTGTCGTGCATGTCCAAGAGCGCGCACGCCGAGCTCACCGACGCCCAGGTCTCGGCGCTGCGCACGCTCGCCAAGCGCGTCGAGCGCGACCTCGCTCTCGCGCAGAAGATGGAGCAACAGCGGCGAGCGCGCGAGCAGGCCTCGTTCATCTCGTCGTTCCTGCGACTCACGCTCGGCGGCACGGCCGCCCCGAGCGAGATGGCGTCGGCGTCGATGCAGGCCGTGTTCGGCGGCACCGGTACGTCGTCTCGGCGCGACACGGCCGCGTTCGACCTCGCCGCCGAGCGCCTGTGCGCCCTCTCGAGCGCGAGCTCGGTCGCCATCCTCGACCTGCGCAACTTCCTCCCGGCGAGGAACGGTGTCGGCTCGAACGACGAGCTGCAGCGCCAGGCGCAGCGCCCCCGCGTCCACGTCCGCTCGCCGGCGTCGGGCGACATCGACTACGACGCGAGCTCGCACCCGCTAGTCGTCCTCGGGCATTCGGGCCTGTCGCCCGAGTCGATCCGGCGCATCAGCAGCCTGAGAAAGGGCGACATCGACGAGTTCGAGGCGCTCGTGCGCCGCATCAAGGCCGACGAGGCCGACGCCGTCCAGATCCAGGGCGACACGGTCCTCGGCCACCTCGTTCCGCCCAACGCCCGCGCGTCGCACCTCGTCCCTATCCACGACCACGCCAAGTCGCTCGCCCTCCTCATCGTCGTCTCGCTCGACGAGCACGTCGACGAGCTCACCGAGGTCGACAGGACCTTCTTCGCCAACGTCGGCTACGCGAGCCTGAGCGCCCTCGTCAAGGACCAAGACGTCGAGTCGGACCGCGCCCGCCTCGCGTTCGTCAGCTCGATCTCACACGCCCTTCGCCTCCCCCTGCACGGCCTCGCCGGCCAACTCGAGCTCATTCGCGGCGCGTCGACCGGCATCGACGAGCACCTCGCCGTCGCCGACGTCTGCATGGACTCGCTGCGAGGTTTACTCGACGACGCGGTCGACTTTTACCACCTCGCCGACCCGATGGCGATGAAGCCGGCGCCCGCCGCAGCTTGCGAGCTCCTCGACCTGTCGGCTCTCGTCCAGGACGTCACGACGCACGCCCTCAACCGGTCGCTCCAGGACGCGTTCGACGGCGACGAGGACGTTCCAGGCATGCCCAAGAGGGACGTCGCCGTCGTCGTCGACGTCGCCGCACGCGCAGGCGGCTGGCTCGCTCGAGCGCGGGCCGGCGACCTGCGCCGGATCCTCGCCAACGTCGTCGCCAACGCGTACCGCTACACGACCAAGGGCGAGGTGCGCGTCACGCTCGAGGCGACGGGCGACGTCGTCTCGGACCAGCACGTCGTCAAGATCTCGGTCGCCGACACGGGCTGCGGCATCGACGAGGCGTTCCTCCGCAGCGGCCAGCTCTTCATGCCGTTCCGCCGCGCCGACGCGTTCACGCCGAGCGTCGGCCTAGGCCTCCCGCTCGTCAACCTCCTCGTCGCGCAATACGGCGGCTCGATCAACGTCACGAGCGCGCTCAACGAGGGTGCGCCCCCTCTCTCTCTCTTTTTCTCTCCCTTCCTCCTCGACAGGAGCTGACCTTTGCGCCACCTCGCAGGCACCACCATCGAGATCACCCTTCCCCTCACGCTCGTCGAGTCGGCACCCGCACCCGCACTCGAGCGCTCGCTGTCGGAGGAGATCGCCGTCGTCATCAAGGCGGCCTCGAGCGCCGCCCGGCATGGCCCGACCGACGCGCCCGCCGCCTTGATCCAGCTCGACCCGACATCCACGCCTACCCGTCGCCCGCCGTTCACGCGCGCCACCACGTCCGCCTCGCACGAGGCGCCCCTGTCGTGCCCGAGCAGCCCGAGCAGCCGGCCAGAGCTCTCTCGCACCAACTCGTCCGGCAGCTCGCAGGCCTACTCGTCGACGTCGTCGATCCTGTCGCGCCACCGTCGACCGCTGCGGGTTCTCGGGTGCGAGGACAACCTCATCGCGCGCAAGCTGCTCGCCGCCCTCGTCAAGAAGAAGGGCTACGAGTTTCACGGCGCCGTCGACGGGCAACAAGGCGTCGACGCGTTCGAGCAACATCGTCCAGACGTCACGATCATGGACATCGGCATGCCCGTTCTCGACGGCATCCAGGCGAGCTCCATGATCCGCAAGATCGAGATTGAGCGAGGCTGGCCCCGGTCGAAGATTGTGCGTCCCCTCTCGTCGTCCTTCTCCTCTTCTTCCCTCTCTCTCCTCCCCTGACTGACAAGGATTTCGTGTTCTCGCAGATCGCCTTGACCGGCCTGAGCAATAAGGTCGACCGCGTCGCCTCGCAGGACATCATCGACGACTGGCTGCTCAAGGGCGGCGACTCGCTCCGGGTCCTCACCGAGCAACTCGCTCGGCTCCAGCTCGAGCTCGACGACCGCGACGACGACGAGCCCGACACGCCCATCAGCGCCCTCGCGTCGTCGACCTACAAGCTCGACGGCGTGCCCCCGGCCCCTTTCCAGCCTGCTCCCCCCCTCCTCCCTCTCGCCGGCGCGCGACTCGTACTTTCCTAGTCTCTCTCTCTCTCTCTCTCCCATGTTGTCTGTCCCCTTTTCGGCTTTTGTGGTTAGATATGCGGTTTTCGGTCCTGCGCGTGCTGTCGGTCTGTATCGTCACCTGCCTCCTCTTCCTCCTCGACTCCTGCCAATACATGCGCAACTTGGAGCGATGCAGCCTCGTCTTGTCGTGCCCCCTGTGTAGAGAGCGGCGGCGCATCGTCTGAGCGAGGACTGAGCGCAACTCAGCGCGAGTCCTTCCGTCGGCAGCGCCGGGCGATCACGGTCGCCCTCAGAGCTGCGATCGGGTCGCTTCTCTCCCTCCTGCTCCTCACTCGATCCTCGTCCGAGTGCGCTCTCGTCTCTCTCGCTCGCTGCACCTTTCGCCGAAAGAGCTTTTGCCGCGGCTCGCCGATGCGGCCCGGAATCGCCGGGGCCATTGCCTCCTCTCGCTCGGCGTGCTTCTGAACCTTGGCAAAGCGGCGCGCGGCCTCCACTCGCTCTCCCTTGGTTGCGCTTCACCGTCTCGCAAAGCTGCGAGTCATGTCGCTCGAAGCATTCCTGAGCCGCGTCCTGCCGGCGACGAGGCCCGACGACGGCTACCGCGCCGTCAAGGGCGACGCCGAGGTCGGCGCGCTCAGCTCAAGCACCTCCTCGTCGCCCAACCTGTCCACCTGCCAGTCGCCTCGACGACTGTCGACGACGCCTTCCGCCATCGCGCGCAGCACCGTGCTGTTCGTGCTCGGCGTCCTCGCCGCCAGCCTCGTGTGGAGCGGCGTCCTCGCGCGCGCGCACGAGCGGTCGGCGACGGTGCAGCGTCTGGAACGGGAGCTGGAGCAGGCCTGGCAGCTGCACGTCGGCAGGAACGAGACGGCCCGTGAGGAGCGGCGGTACGGGCCTCGGCGGCGGCGGCCAACGACTTGGCGAGGAGGGTTCAGGACGCCGGGTCCTCGAGAGGTGCGCTCTCGCGCCCGCTTTGGCCCTCTGCGCCTCTCAAGAGACGCGCAACTGACTCTACACTCTGCTCGCAGCTGTTGACGACCGACGAGCCGGGCAACTCGCTGTACGACGCCTTGCGGCCCGACCTGCGGTACCTCGTGCGTCCCTCTTTTCCTCCGATTCGCCTTTTCTCTTCTCCTGAGCTCACAGTACTGACGAGCATCCTGGCCGCAGATTGGCGACGCCTGGTCGGGCCTGACCGGGCAGTTCCTAACGTCAATTTCTCTCGTTTACCTCGCGCAGAGGACTCAGCGCGTCGCCATCATGTGCGTCCTCTGCCGCCTCCTCGAGCCGAGCCCTGCGCGCCTACTCACCTGCCTCCGAACCGGAGTCCTTCGCCGTGGCGCGATGACGAGCACTACCACAACACGTTCGCCAAGATGTCCGACCTCTTCAACCTCGAGCAGTTCCGCCAAGACGTCCGTCGCCTCTCTCTCTCGCTCTCACAAACCTCCAGACGTCGACACGAGCCTCGCTCACGCTCCTCGTCCGCCCACAGACCGGTACTCTCGTCCTCGAGCTCTCGGACGTCAAGCGCTTTGACCTCGAACACAGAAAGACGAGGCGCGAGGAGGTCGGCTGCTTCCATGGGACCAACTTTGCCGACCAGGGTGTGCGTCCTATCTCTCTCTCTCGTCCTCACGAGCCGAGAGCCTCGTCTGACGTCGTCGTTCCTCTGCGCAGCGCACCTTTGAGGCGTTCAACCTTGACGCGCCGTCTTGGAATGTCGAGCGCCTCGGCGGGTGGGCCAACGACGCGACCGAGTCGCTCATCCTGTTCGACATGGACACCGACCTGCGCCTCAAGAAGACGCACGCGTTCGCCGCCAAGGAGAACCGCGACGTGCCGCGCAACATGATCGACTCCCAGCTTCTTTGTTACGGCAACGTGTGGGCATTGAGCGACGTCGCTATGTATAGAGAGCGGTGGGGAGCGCACAATTACCTCGTGGCGGACGGCGTGCAGGAGAAGGAGGGCGACCTCGAGGCGATGTTGAGTCCCGAGCACCGAGGGTCCCACGCAGGTGCGCTCTCGAGCCTCTCTCTCCTCCTTGCGACGTTCACTGACCTTCTCGCACGGTTCCTGCAGAGTGGTGGGCAGTCGGGCAGTACCTCGACTTTCAGCCGGCGATTTGGGAGGTCGCCCTCGTCGCCGCTCGCAAAACGCTCGGCGTCGACGACCTTCCTCGCGACCTCCTCACGGTGCACATTCGTCGAGGCGACTTTGTGGTGCGTCCCCTAGTCTCTCTCTCTCTTGCTCTCGGGCGCGTCGACTGACGACCGCTGTCCTCGTCCAGACCTGGTGCGCTGTTGGCCACGACTGCGTTCCTCCCCTCTCGGCCTACCGCGGCGCCGTCGCCTCTCAGCTCTCGCACCTCCCGCCCGACACGCCCGTCCTCGTCACGACCGACGATACCTCGCGCGAGTTCCTCTCGTCGATCGAGGCCCTGGGCTGGCTCGTCGTCGACCACGTCACGCTCGGCACCGAGGCCCTCCTCATCGAGCGGTACGGCGAGCAAGAGCACGGGTGGTACGGCTCGGCGGTGGACCAGGCGATCCACTCGCTCGGGAGCGGCTTTGTCGGGACCGAGGACTCGCAGGTGTCGCTCGTCGCCGCACTGCGAGTCGCAGCGTGGAGCGGCGGCAGGTCCGAGATGGTCAAGCGGCCAAAGTAGAGACGCTCTCGGGACGCGAGGAGGAGAGGAAGGAGGATGCGACGGATAGAAATTGCGAGTTGCGACGAGTACTCTGTCTCGATGAGAGGACGAGAGAGAGAGAGAGAGAGAAAGACAAGGAAGAGAATGCTACAGAGGACGAGGGCGCGAGGCTCAGTAGTCGTCGCCGCGAGTGACGATCTCCTTGCAGTTCGGGCGCAGGATGATCGTGTGCTCCTGCGAGAGGGAGTGATTCGTGAGACAGGACTTGAGAGAGAGGAGAGGAGAGAAGGGACGCACGTATTGCGCCGTCTGGCAGCCAGGACCGGCCGTGTCGACGAGCGGCGGGTAGTCCTGCACGATGCCCGTCTGGACGAGCTCTCGCAGCTGCAGACGTCGATTGAGAGAGAGAGTCAGTCTCGGAATAGGTAGAAGAGGAGGAAGAGGAAGGTCGGACGCACGCCGACGGCATAGTTCTTCTCGCCGAGGCGGTCGAGGTACCGCTTGCACCAGGGGAGCGTGCCAAACTGCTTGTCGATGACGCCGAGGAGCTTCTTGGCCGAGTCGAACCGCAAGGGCGCCTTGACGCCGTCCATCCGCGCATAGTGCGAGCAGTTGTCCTGCGCGGCGAGGGCATGAGCGCTCGGGCCTCGTCGACAGGCCGAGTTCGAGGGTAACAGAAAGAGGTGGACGCACCGCGTTGCGGACGTAGCCGTCGCCTGTCGAGCCGAACGTCTCGATCGCAAAGTACTCGCCCTCCTCCATCTTCTGGTCGTTGTCCGGGTCGTCGTCGTACGGGGCGACGATCGGGACCGACTTGCCGCCGTGGATGACGAACGGGTTGATCGAGTGGCCCGTCAGGTTGCGGATCGACTTGACTGCGAGGCGCGGCGGGAGGGAAAGAGAGAGTGTCAGGAAGGTCCCGCCGCCAAAAAAGAGGAAAGAGAGAGGGCGGGCGCACCCTGCTTGGTCTTGCCCTCGACCTCGACCTCGTACGACTCCATGACCTCCTGGATCGCCCTCCCAATGTCGCCCATGCGCACGTCGATGCCGGCCTCGCGCACGCCCGTCTCGGTCGCGTCCTTGACGGCCGCGAGGAGCGCGTCGTACGTCGGCTCCCAGTTGAGCGTAAAGGCCGAGTCGACGATGCGCCCGTTAACGTGCACGCCAAAGTCGACCTTGAGGACGTCCTCCTTCTGCAGCACTGCGAGCGAGCGAGCAAACGAGTGTCAGGTCGGCCTTCCCAAACCTGCCGGGTCGGTCGAGGGGAGAACGAGCGAGAGGGGGGACGCACCGATCGTGTCGCCGGCGTTGGGCGTGTAGTGTGCCGCACAGTGGTTCCTGCTCAGGCCCGTCGGGAACCCAATGCCAGCCTGCATGCCGTTCTCCTCGACGAGTGCCCTCGTGCCGTTCTCGATCATGTCGGCAATCTCGGTCATGCCCATGCCCGGCTGGATGTGGGCCCGCGCGTACTGGCGCACCTGGCGGTGCACCTCGGCGGCGCGCCGCACGGCGTTGTAGTTGAACGCCGAGTCGGACGGCTCGTCGAGCATGAGGCGGTCCTTGTGCCGCATCTCCTCCGAGGTCGTCCTCCACGAGTTGCTGTTTTCGTGCCGCACGTCGAGTCAGTGTCGTGCTCTCGAGCGGCTGAGAAGAAAGAGAGAGAGAGCGTGGGCGACGCACTTGCCGACGTAGTCGTGCAGCTCGCCGACCGGGTAGTTGCCGTCCTTGAAGAAGCGCGACACGGGCACGGTCGGCGGGTCGGTCTGCTTGACGGCCGCCTTCTTGCTCTTCTTCTTGGGCTTCTTCTTCTCTGCAGGGGCGCGGGCGCAACGACGAGGCGAGGTCAGCCCCCACTTGACCCGGCGCGAGAGAGAGGGAGGGAGAGAGGTGGGACTCGCTCTTCTTCTTGTCTGCGGGCGAGCGCGTCAGTCAGTAATGGGGCAGTCTGTAGATAAAGGGACACGGGGCGCACCTGCAGGAGCACCAGCCGGGTCTGCGTCGTCGTCGCCGTCATCGTCGTCGTCGGGTGCGTCGGCCGGCTCGTCGCCGCCGTGCTGTGCGGCCGGCTTGGCCGCATCCTGGTCGAGGTCGAGCTTGGCGAGCTCGTCGAGCGGCACGGCAGGTGTGCTTGCAGCGGCAGCCATCGTAGCGTGAGGGAAGCGGGCGAGCGGCGCCTCTCTCGGACGAGGCGCGTCTCTCTCGCGCGCGCTCACGGCCAAGTCCCGCCCGCGGCTCACACTGTCCAAGCTCGCTCGTCTCGCTCTCGCCGTCTCTCTCGTCTCTCACCCAGTCGCACACCGAGTCGGGTTCAACCAGCCAACGCGTGGGTTGCACGCAGAGACCCTAACAACAGCGACAGGGGGAGCAAGAGGCCGTTTACTTCTTGCCGCCCTTGGTCTGCTGGGCAATGACCTGCTCGTTGAAAGGGAGAGGAAGCCCCACATGGCCGTGTCAGTTCCCGACGCTCGCTCGACACCCACGAGAGAGAGAGAGAGAGAGAGAGCGAGGACGCACGCGCTTGACGATCTTGGCCTCCTCGACCAGGAACGCGCGGACAATGCGGTCGCGGACGCAGGTCGCGCAGCGCGAGCCACCGTACGCGCGCTGGACCGTCTTCTGCCTCTTCGAGATCTGGGCGTACTCGCGCGGGCGGAGGGCCGGGACCTGGCGACGCGCAAGAGCGAGGGTCAGGACGGGCCGTTCGCTGCGTGCGGCAGGGAGAGGACAAGGGACGCACACCGGGGAGGGCGATGTGGCAGTCACCGCACTTGGGCGCCGCCGCCGTCTTCTTGACCGTGAGGTAACGGAGCTTGCCGCCTGCGGGTCGCACAGCGAGTCAGTACGGGGCTCGTGGTCGTGCGCATCGCATCGTGTGGCAGCTGCGCCCGTCGGCTCGATCCGCCGCTCCACCTCGCGCGGGCAGCCATATCCCCTCCCTGCCGCCTGCTCGTGCACGCCTGCCTGCTCCCTGCCGCCTCCCGCCACACGCGCGTCCTGCGCCGGCGAGACCCTGGCGCGCCCTTGCTGCGTGCGGCGGCGAGAACGTCTTCGGCACGCTCTCGCCCGCCGCCACCTCCTCCGCTCTGCGCCTCGTTGCTCGCGCGCCCTGCTGCCCATTCACCGCCTGCGCGAGCGAGCGCAACCGCCCCGGGGGAAGGAGGGAGGAGAGGGCGACCGACCCGGGGTCTTGACGATGCGCTTGCCGTTCGACTTGGTCGAGTAGCTCTTGCGAGTCCGGAGGGTAACGCGCTGAACCATGGCGAAGCCTGCTCAGTTTGGTGGCGGGAGCGGCACGGGTACAGGGGGGGCGAGAGGCGAGGGCGAGGGTCGAGAGGGAGGGTCGAGGAGGTTTTGCGGGCGAGGCGAGGCGCAGGGGGGACGGCGAGCGGCGGGGCGGGGGTCGGGCAAGGGCAAAGGTCAGCTGTGTCTGCGTGTCGAGGACCTGAGCAGCACGGGACGCACTTGGCGGGTGAACTGCGAAAGAGGACCAAGGAGGCGAGCTCTGGCTTCCTCCTCCTGTCCTCTCCTCGACTCGGCGAACCAGCTCAGCCCTCGCCTCTCGCGCTCTCGAGCAGGTCTGTTGCTAGCAGGGAGCACACTGTTCCGCTCTGGCTCGCACTCGGAGCGCGCGACGCAGCTCGTCGAGGCGCTCCCGCTCGCTCGAGCTCTCCGTCCTCCTCCTCGCCTCGACCCCCCTCGAAGCGCTTCATGCACACTGCTCAGTTCCAGCTCGACACGCTCGTCGACATCTAAACAGGGCCCTCGCTCACGCCGCCATGTCCATGACGTCCATCGTCTGCTGCCCGTCCTCGCCGATCAAGAGCGAGTTCTGCTCGCGCAGGAACTGGACGCTGCGCTTCTCGTCGAGGAACCTGGTCACGTCGCGGGTCAGTGTCGTACACAGAGGCACCTCGAGAGAGAAGAGAGAGGGACGCACAGGGTGTAGACCCGGCGCACGTCGGGCACGTCGACGACGGCCGCCTTTCGCCGGCGCGCGACCAGGCTCGAGAGCGTGATGAGCTGGATGACGTAGCCTGCAGGGGAGTGGTGGCGTCCTCGAGTCAGTGTACGCTCAGGGACAGAGAGTAGGAGAGAGGCGGGACGCACGTAGAGACGTCTCGGAGCCAATCTTGGTCAGGATCTCGAGCGCCGCCGGGGCGAGCGAGACGTCCTCCTCCTGCGCGCTGCAGACTCGGCGAGAGAGCGTCAGGGCCTCTGTGACGGATACATCACAAGAGAGAGAGGACGCACCGGATGGTGAGGATCTCGCGAATGTCCTCGGCCTGGTACGCCGCCGTCGAGATGATCAAGGCGCGGTCGAGCAGGTCGATCGGGATCCCGTGCGGCGACTTGTACTTGGTGCCGCGTATCCGGGTCATGCCCCGGTTCGACGCCATGATGACGATGGGCGCGAGCTCGGTCTCGAGCGCGCGGTTGAGGAACGAGAAGCACTCGATGTCGAGCATGTGCACCTGTGACCCTTCCAAGGTGAGCCCACGCTCTGTCGCTCGCGAGGAGAGAGAAAGAAGGGACGCACCTCGTCGATGAAGAGGACGCCGGGCACGATCTCGGCCTTGCCCTCCTCGCGCCAGTCGCTGACCTTGGCGTTGATCTGGTCGCGCAGCTCCGACTTGATCTCGCCCGTGTCACCTGCGCAACGCAGTCCATCAAGTCAGCTCGACGCTCTCTTGGGTGACGAGTACCGACAAGGAGAGAGAGGGGGCGCACCGGCAAAGAGGGCGAGGAAGCCCTGGGTCCTCGAGTTGATCACGTCGATCTCGTGCAGCGACACCGTGTGGACGACCTCCTTGCGCACCTGCAGCTCGCCCTCGGGGCACTGCACGAACTTGGTCTGCGAGGGTGCACGAGCGAGGGTCAGTGTCGCTGTCGGCGAGGAGAGGAGGAGCACAGAGGGAGAGGTGGACGCACGTCGGCTCCCATCGCGTCGTAGTCCCTCGCGCGCGTGAACGACCTGCCCAGCTTCGAGATCTTGCCCGTGCTCTTGTCGATGACGATGACGTCGCCGGCAATGACCTTCTCCTTGCTGAGCGCGTCAATCATCTTGTTGCCGAGGTCGTACACCGTCTCCATGTCGGTCGTCTTCATCGTGATCTTGCCCGTCTTGGACGCCTGTGTGTGCGCTCGAGAGCTCGTCAGTATCGTTCTCTGCTTGCTGCGCAGACACTGAGAGAGTGAGAGAGAGGGACGCACGCCGGTCAAGCTCCGGTCAATCTGGATCTCGACGACCTCGCCCTCGATGATCTCGGACTCCTCCTTGATGCGCACGCCGATGCTCCGACGGAACGCCTGCGTCAACGCCTCGGTCTTGGACATCTCGAGCGAGAAGATCTCGGATGCCGAGATCATGGTGAACGGGACGTCCGAGCCGAGCGACTGGGCCATGCCTGCGCGAGGGGAGGGAGGACTCGAGTTAGCTTGCGCCGTCCAGGGTCCAGATCGCGAACACGCTCGGTCGCTGCAGGAGGGCACAGCGACCTGAGGACGAGAGGGCGAGAGGGACGCAGGCGACGCACCCATGGCGATGGCAGTCTTGCCGGACGAGGGCGGGCCCGCCATGAGGACGGCGCGCCCGGCGATGCGACCGTCGTTGACCATCTTGAGGATGACGCCCGCCGCCTTGCGCGCCTTGGCCTGGCCGACCATGCCCTGCGAGTTGCCCCTCGGCTCGAGGGTGGTGGGGTCGAGTCCGAGGCCGCGGATGTGCGAGTGCGCGCCTGTCGCAAGGGGTGGTCGTGCAGGTTAGCTAGACGGTCACAAGAGCTGCGCGCAGGTCCACAGGAGAGGCGTGGACGGACCGAGGCGCTCGAGCTTCGTGGACTCGCGCTCGCCGGTGGTCGCGATCTGGGTAGCCTGTGGGTGCAGACGGGTGAGCTCGGGTGCATTGGGGAGGGCATGAGGAGCCGTCGACGCACCATTCTGGTGCTTGGCTGTGGTGGGGAGAGGAGACGAGCGACGGCCTCACCTTCATCTCCCTCCTCGACCTGGACGACCTCACCGAGGCTTTCTCAAGCTCTCTGGGCGGCGGTTCTCGCGTACAGCAGCCAGCACAGAGCTCTGTGCAACACTGAGTGGCCTGCAGCAGCTGTTCAGAGCGATGTCGTTAGCTCGTCCTTCCTCGCCGTCGCTCTCTCGCGCCCAAGTCGCCGCAGCGCTCCTCTCCTGCAGCTTTCTGGCTGTTTGGCACGACCGGCAAGGAGCAGAAAGACGTAAAGTGCAAGTATGAGAGATACCGACAACAAAGAAACGAGACCGGACCCTCTCCTCCTCACTCAGCCCCGCCAACCCCACCCTCGTCCCGCCGCACGAGCGTCCGCCCTCGCCGTCCCTCCCTCGCCGTGCACGAGTACACCCTTGCCTTTGACGTTGCGCTGCTCGCGCTCCCACCGCTCGTCCGCCTCGTACGCCCTAACCGCCTCCTCGAGCTCGCCGCCCTCGCGCACCTCGAGCTCGTCGTCGCCATCGACCGCCTCGCCGCCGCGTGCGCGCCGGTTCTCGGCGACAAAGCGCGCCTCCTGCTCGCGGGCGTGAAAGACGGCGTCGACGTAGGCGCGCGCGGTCGCCCAGTCGGCGCACTTGGTCGCGACCTGGAAGCGGCGCACGACGAGGCGCTTGCGCTCGAGCGGAGCGGGGAGGATGGGCTCGGCGGACGACGAGGGGCGGCGAGCGGTGGGTGGGAGGATGAGGAAGGGCTTGGTGTGGAGGAGGTGAGGCGTGGTCGAGAGGGTCGACAAGGGGAGCTTGTTGAGCTGGCACAGGACGTGGCCCTGTAACAGGCGGAAGGAGCTGTCAATCTCCGCTCGCCCAACGCACTCGTCTCGGTCACAGCGACGAAGAAGAGAACGGGGAGAGAAGGGACGGACCTCGACGCCGTACTCAAAGGCCAAGCCGACGAGCGTGTCGTGCGGGCGGACGTGGTGCAGCGCGCACTGCTCCCTCCTGCCTTTGCCGTCCGCATCGCCGAGCTCGACACCTCCCGCCTCGTACGCCGGCGGCGCCTCGAGCCCCTCGCCCGCCTCGCCGAGAGCGCCCTCGTCGCCGAGAGGTGGCGGTGGTGGGGAACCCGCCGTCCTCGCCGCCGGGTCCTCGTCGTCCGAATCGCCGCCGAGCACAAAGTCGCCGTCGGCCTTCTCGACATCGTACCGAGGCGGGCTCGTCGCGCGAGGGGTGGCAGTCGATGTCGCAGGAGCCGAGGTGGAGGTGCCGCCGAGGACGTCGTTGGCCGTCTCGCACAGGACGCAGGACTGTGGGCGAGGCGTGTCAGCTCGGCAGGATTTGCAGGAGCTGGCGAGAAGGGGGCGCACCTGAGCCAGCCGCCTGTTCTTGCGCACGCACGCGCCACAGACTTGGTGCAGGCCGCAGGCGAACGAGACGGGCGGAGGGTCGGCCTTCTCCGAGTGCGAGGGGACGGCGGTCGAGCCGTCTAGTGTGGTGCAGCAAGTGGTACACAGCTTCATCTCGGCGCGGTGAGAGAGGAGAGCAGGAGAGAGCGAAGACCCCGAACCGAGGTGGCGGTGCTCTCGCTCTCCTCCGTCTCTCGCGGGAACCAAGGAAAAAGGGCAACGACGAGATGCATGCTGAATGACAAAGGAACGAGTGCGAGGATTAAGATAGATGTGCATCTACACAGAGGCGACAGAGAGCGAGAGAGCGAGAGAGGAGGCAGGAAGCGCTGTAACAACCCGAGGCGCAGTGTCTGTAGCGGCGCAGAGTGTCCGTGTGCGCGACCATCGTCGTCGCGCTCAGGGCCGCCTCGGCGCGGTGCCCATCGTCGACGCCGCCCTCGCGCCGCCGCCGCGACCGCCGCTCGCGCGCAGCTGGCCCGTCGACGCCGGGTGGCCCATGACCGACTGCGGTGCGCCGCCGCCGCCGCCGCCGTACGCGCTCATCGGGCCCGTCGAGAATCCGAGGGCCGAGCCGGCGTACGCGGGCATGCCGTACAGGGACGGCGCCTGCGAGTACTGCGCCGGGTGGAAGAACGGCTGCGACATGGCGAAACTCGGCGCGAACGGCGGCAGCTGCATGCTCGACGAGTGCTGGTGTGGCCCGTGCCCTTGGCCGTACCCTGCGCCGGCGCCGCCCTGGGCGAACTGGTCGAACGAGCCGAGGCTCATGCTCGAGCCGTGGCCCATGCCGCCGCCGCTGCCGCCGAGGCCGCCGCGGAACGACTGGTTCGACGAGCCGTCGTGCCCGCCGAGCATGCTGCCGGCGACGACGCTCTCGGCGCGAGCCTGGAGCGACGCCTGGTGCATCATCTGCATCATCTGGGCGGCGCGCTGGTGCAACGACATCTTCTGGTCGAGCGGGAGCGAGGCGTCTGCGTGAGGGGCAGGGTCAGGCGCCTGTCGGTGCCACGAGAACGAAGAGAGGTGAGAGAGCGAGAGACGTACAGAGGTAAGGGTCGACGCCCGGCGGTGCGACGGCGAGGGGCGAGAACGCGCCGCCCATGCCCATGGCCATCTGCGGATGCATGCCGCCCATCATGCTGCCCGCTCCACCGCCCATGACGCTCCCTCCCGCCCCACCGAGCACGCTGCCCTTGGTCGGCAAGTTGGCGAGCGGCTCGTCCTCGTCGCTGCTCTCGCCGCCGCCGCCGCCGCCGACGGCCGTGCGCTCGGGCACCAGCCCGCTCGGGTGGTTCAGGTCGCGCCCGATCCGGAGCGCATCGAGCGCCTCGGCCTTGTGCCGCGCCTTCATGCGGTCGTACACGCCGTCGTCGACGGCCGTGATGGACGACGGAGCCGTCGAGGGCCCGTTCGACGCCGACGCGGTCGAGCTCGCGCGCGTGTGGGGCGCGGCGGCCGACATGCTCGAGCGGGCCGAGGCGAGGGCGGAGGAGCGAGGGTTGAGGTGCTGCTGCTGCGACGAGCCGCGAGCCGACGAGGCGGCGTACCCGGCGCCGAGGTGCGGCATGCTCGGCGTCGCGCGGTGGGCGAGCGACGGCTGCTGCTGCTGCTGCTGCTGCTGCGGTAGAGGTACAGGAGCGCCGAGCGCGCTCGCGGCCGAGCTCGTGATGGCGCTCAGGCGCCGACCGCGGTTCCACCCTGCAGCGTCCGTCTGCGACGCGACCGGGTCGAACTTGACCGACGGTTTGCCGAGTGCGCTGGCGCCCGTCGACTCGCCGCCGCCGAGGTGTTGCTGCTGCTGCTGGAGGTGGAGCGACGAGGACGGGAAGCCGAGGTGCGACGCCGAGGGCGAGTCCTTGGGCGTGATGGGCACCGACGAGGTCGACGCCGAGCCCGAGCCAGACGACGCCGACGCCGACGCCGATGAGCGGTCGCGCGCCGTGACCGACGCAAACAGCGGCGAGGCGACCGGCGGGTGCACAGCGTCCTGCAGCGCCGGGACGGGCGGGATGCCCGACGACGACGACGACGACGACTGGAACGCCTGGACGGTCGGCGACGCCGGATTCGAGACGGACCTCGCGCCATATGGCGGGCGCAGGATGCCGCGAGTCGCCGTAGCGCCGCTCCGGGCGGGCGAGGGCGGCGCCGTCGCGACAGCGCCCGGGACGCCCGTACTCGCCGACGCGGCCGCGACGGCCGTCGCCTGCTGCGACGCCGTCATGGACGTCGAGAAGCTGAGCGTCGACAGGCTGCGACGATTCGACCCGCGGCGCACGAGCGGGTTGCCCATGCCGAGCTGCTGCTGCTGCTGTTGCTGCTGGTGGGCCTGGTGGTGCGCCTTGTCGCGCGCGCCGCCGAACGAGCCCGCGACCGGCGGCGAGTGCTGGTCGCGCAGGATCTCGAGCTCGCTGCTCGGCTTGCGGTACAGGTCGCGCCCGTCGTGGCGGCTCGGCAGCGGCGGCGGCGGCGGGGCCCGTGCGCTCCCGCCGTCGATGCTCGCTCGCGCCGATGACGCCGACGCCGACGCCGACGTCGACGCCGGGAGCGACAGGTCGACCTGGCTGCGGCTGCGGATCTGCGCGAGCGGCACCTCGTCGTCGCTCGACGACCCGTCGCGCTCGTCGCCGTCGTCCTCGTCCGACGAGCTCGACAGTCGCTCCTCGCCCTCGCTCGAGTCGCTCGCCCACCCGCCTGCGCCACCCCGCGACGGGTACACCGCGTTCTTGCCCTTGGCGCGCGGCGCTCGTGCGGCTGCGGCCGGGGCCGGGGCGCGAGGAGGCGCGGTGCCGACGCCCATGGCGGCGAGCGCGGCTTGAGCCGACTCGTTGAACAGCGACGACGAGCGCTGTGGGCGCGGCACGAGCGTCGACGCGCGGCGCGTAGTGCTCGGCGGCGGGCTGCGCGACGCCGAGGACGATGCGACCGGCGCGCTCGCGAACCCGGGCACGCTCTGCGGCGTCGGCGGCTGGACGGCGACGGCGGGAGTGGCGGCGCCCTCGCCCGGGCCGTAGCTGACCTTGCGCGGCGTGGCGTACGACGCGAGGCGCTCGGGACCGGGCTCGGGCTCGAGCTCGAGCGGCGACGCGACGGGCGGGCTCGAGTTGAGCATGTCGCCGTACGCGGCGATGAGGCGCAGCTCCGAGTCGTCGGTCGACATGCGCTGCGGCGGTGCCGGGCGACGCTCGTGCACGAGTGCGCTTGGGGCTGTCGAGGTGGTCGGGGACGTGGCGGGCGACGCGTGTCGAGTCGAAAGGCGGACGGGCGTCGAGTTGCCAGAGCGCGACGGCGACGACGACGACGGCGGCGGCTGCTGCTGCTGCGCGGTCGAGTACGACGCCATCGAGAAGAGCGAGGTCGACGTGCTCATGCTCGGGCGCTCGTAGCTCATGCTCGTGCGCCTCGACTGGTCGAGCCGACTCGCGCCCGCACCCGGCGACGACGGCGCGCTCGCCGCCGCCGCCGCCGCCGCACCCGCGCCGTTGCTCGACGACGCGCGCGAGCCGATCGACGAGTTCGAGCTGTTGCTGTGCATGCCGACGAACGACGGGCGGGGCGGCGCCAGGATCGACGACGAGGTCGACGCACCGAGCTCCGAGTAGGTCGACCCGCGGCGTGCGCTCGCGGGCCGCTGTTGCGGCTCGAAGCGCGGGCGCTCGCGCGGCGCGTGCGGGTCCGACGAGTCGAGCGCGGGTCCGGGTCCGGGTCCGGGCCCGAGCGCGAGGTCGGTCGCGGACGCGAGCGAGAGGGTCGACCGCGAGCGGAACCGGAACGCCTCGGCCGTCATGGTGGGCGAGGGAGCGCGCTCCCATGCGCTCGAGGACGACGAGGCGTGCGCGCCGCCGCCGCCGCCGAGGGTGGCGAGGGACGGGCGGCGAGGGTAGTGGAACGACGAGGGCGGCCGCGAGTGGTTGCTCGGGTTGTTAAAGTCGATCGAGGTGCGCAGCGACTCTTGCGGCTCGTGCGAGAGGCTGTCGGGCTGGTGCGGGTCCTGCTGTGCGGCGACGGCAGGCTTCGGGTTGGGGTGGTACGACAGGGGCGGCACTGGCGGTGGTGGCGGCTGCTGGACGGCCGACGCCGACGAAGACAAAGGTGCGCGGTCCTCCTGTACACGCGACACGGTGCGGAACGAGCGCACGACGAACCCGCTGTCGCCGTCGCCGTCGTCGACGAGGCCCAACCCGGGCCCGTCCCCTCCCGCCGCCGCGCTCGACGAGCTGCCCTGCCTCCCTTTGCTCCCTCGCCCAAACTTCCACTTGGTCCCCCACTTGCTCCCGCCCTGCGCACCCGACGAGGCGGCGGCGTGCGCCGCCGGCGGGTCGTGCTCGTCGACGGACGACATGATGGTCGCCGTCGCCGACGCCTGGCGCTGGCGCGGTGCGCCGCCCATGTCGCCGCGACCGGTGGCGCCGAGCGAGGGGAGCGACAGGGTGCTCGACGAGGCTGCGCGGGCGGCATGGCCGCGGAACACGCGCGAGTTGGACGACGCCGCGAGCTCGGGCGAGTAGGCGGCCGAGGAGGGGCGGTCATCGTAGCTGGTGCTGTTGCGGCCGTACGCGCTGGCCTGGCTCGACGAGAGGTGGGTCGACGTGGTGGTGGTGGTGGTGGCGAGGGTGGTGGTGGCTGGTGCCGAGCTGCTGGCTCGTGGAAGCGGCGGAGGATGCGGAGAGGGAGGCGGCGGCTCGCGCTGCTTCTTGCGCGAGAAGAGGCCCATCGTCGCTGGCTGTGCGAGAGGGGTGGGCAGAGTGCACGCGGTCAGCGGTGCTGTCGCTGTGGCAGGTCGACGCCCTCGTTGGGCGAGAGAGTCGGACGCGTCGTGGTTCGAGGGGGGCGCAAGCGCGAGGGCGGGCGATGAAGGGGGCGGGGCTTAAGAGAGTAGACGCACCTGTGCGGGTGAGCTGGTGCTGCACCGAGTACTGCGCGCGAGCTGTGGGCGGAGGACAAGCCCTGCTTGATGAAGCGACGGTCGATCGGGCGATGGACGCTGGTGCACTTTGCCCAGCTTCCAGCTGCCAGAGTGTCGGCCCGTGCAAGCGTGCTTCTGTGCATCTCGAGCCACAGCACTAGCTCCTCGTTCCTTCGAGCGCGAGCACCCGCCAACTGAAAGGCGAGACACTCCGACTCTCCGCCCGCCGACGACGACGACGACGACGAGCAACTTCTCCAGCTCAGTGTCCTCGACAGCACCGCCCGGCCAGCCAGTGAGCTCCAGCCTCACTACAGCGGCCAATTGAGCACCGGCACTGACCCGCCCCTCGCCTCTCGCAGTGCCCACCACCTCGTCCATCCCGGCCCCGCTCGCTCGCCTCTACGCCAAGTTCCCGCTGTACGAGGTCCCCGCCTCACAGGGCACAACCCCACCCCCTGTGCGCCCAACCCTGTGGGCCTACGGGCCCCCTCCCGCCGGCCACCGCGAGTCGCTCGACCCGCTGTGCCGCGCCGCGCAGGCCTTTGCCCGCTTCTCGCTCGCCGACGGTGCGGCCGACGTCAGGTGGATGGACTGGCAGGGGCAGGAGGGCGCGCCGGGAGGGACGCTCCCCGCGCTGCACACGCCCGAGGGGGACTTGGTCGTCGGCGACGAGGTGAGCGCATGGGTCGCGGCGCAGGGTGCGGCTCCTCTTCCGGCAAAGGGCAAGAAGGGCAGCGGTGCGTCTCTCTCTCTCTCTCACACACACAAAACTGCCTGTTCACCGTCGAGCGCCTCTGACCCCCCGACCTGCCCGCAGCAGCCGACGCGCCTGCCCCCTCGGACCCCTCCCATCAAGCCTTCCTCGCCCTCGTCCTCTCGACCCTCCTCCCCGCCCTCCTCTCGTCCCTGTACCTCTCTCCCCCCTCGCTCGTCCCACCCGTCGTCCCTTCCCGCCAGCGTCCCGTCCTCGCCGCCGTCGCACACCGGTACCTGAGCTGGAACGACCGCGCGACCCGGATCGACCAGATCAAGCGCCTGAGGGGCGGCAAGCTAGGCAAGGCGGCCGTGCTCGACTTGGAGGAGGTCGAGCGCGAGGCGAGGGACACGATCGAGGCCCTCGAGGTCAAGCTTGGCGACGAGGACCCGAACGGGTGGTTCGGCGGCGCGAGGTGCGTCCCCCTCTCTCTCCCTCTCTCTCCTCCTCGCTCTCGAGCGCTTCTCTCTCTCTCGCGCGCACATTCCCCTGATCACACGCACCGCACACCCAGCTCCCCGACCCGCCTCGACGCCCTCGTATACGCCCTCCTGAGCATCGCGAGCGTCCTCCCGCCGTCGTGCGACAAGGTGCTGCGCCCGACGCTCGAGCGCTGCCCGAGGTTGCTCGCGTGGGTCAAGGCGCACGGCCCGTAGCCTCTCGTGGTCGCCGAGAGAGAGAGACAGGGGGAGCACACAGAGATAGAACTGCAACGGCGACGACGTGCGAGTGCTACACGGTGCTCGAGAGGGCGAGGAGAGCGAGACCAGCTCGCGGACCGCGCTCGAGAGGGAGAGAGAGACAGGCGCCCAGCACCCCCTTGCTACTCATCGCCGTCGTCGGCATAGCTCGGCTCGACCATGCCCGTCAGGCTCGTGAGCGGCACGCTCTTCCTCTTCGTGTCCTCCTCCTCCTCACCGTCCTCGCCCGCCGCTGCACCTTCTCCTGCACCTCGCCCGACCCCGCCACTCTTGACCACCTCCCCAAGCAGCACCGCGAGCGCCTCCTCGATCCGCTCGAGCCGCGCCTCGACTGCGCTCGCTCCCCCTCCCCCTCCCCCTCCCGCTCCCGCCGCCGTGCCCGCGCCGAGCGACGCGCCCGGGCCAAACAGGCGCGCGAGCGGCGAGTCGAGCGAGCCGAGGCGCTGGGCTGCTGCTGCCGCCGGCGCGCGCGGGCGCTGCTGCGGCTTGAGCGCGGGCGGGCGCGCCTTGCGTCCGGCGCCTGCTGCGGCGGCCGCCGTCGCCTTGCCCTTGCTCTTGCTCTTGCTCGAGCCCGCGTCTCCCTCCGTCGCCACACGCTCGGCGCCCTCGTCCCGCTGCCCCTCGTCCTCCTCCTCCTCCTCGCGTCCTCCGGCCCCCGCTCCAACCGGCTCATCAAAGCTCCTCACGCGCCTCGCCTCGTCCGTCACAGCGCGGTCCCACACCTCGTCGACGACGTGCTCGACCTTGCCCTCCCACCACGTGTCCCAGCTCGCGAACCGCCTCGGGAGCTCCCTCGCGAGCGCGAGCGCGCCCGACTCGAGCCCGAGCCCGGGCGCGCGCCGGGCCGAGAGGCGCGCGTACAGGGCGAGCGCGACGAGGATCGGGAGGTTGAGGGTGCGCGCGAGGTACACTTGGGCTTTGTGGAACGCGCTGTTGGGGCAGAGGGGAGCGCGAGGGTGCAACAGGGAGTCAGGACGGGTTCCGTGCGCGCGATGACGACGAGAACGAGAGACAGAGAGAGAGAGAGCGCGGGGAACGCACCGTGGCGAGAGGATGAACCTGAGCGGGACGAGGACGGCAAACGCGAACGTGTTGAGCGGCGGGACGTAGCACGTCAAGGGGTCGGCCTTGGCGCGCTCGAGCGTGCGGAGCGTCATCTGGTAGATGAGCTCGACCTCCGAGTTGGCCTGGACGGCCGCGAACGTGTTGCTCAGGAGCGAGATGAGGATCGTGAGGACTGCCGGGGGGGCGGCAAGGGGAGGTGTCAGTGCGTGCTCGAGGGAGGAGAGAGAGAGAGAGAGAGAGGGAGAGAGGGACGCACGGAGGGTCTGCGACAGGATGGCAAAGGCGACCATGAGGGCGGGCCCGTACCACTCGTGGAACTGTTGCGCCGCCTCGAACCCGAGGAACGCCGAGCCGAGCCAGATCTGCGACCGAGGGTGCGAGACGAGGGGGGTCGGGTCGGTCAGGGTCTGGCGAAGACGACGATGAGAGAGAAAGAGAGAGGCGAGGCGAGGGCGCACCTTGAGCATGAGCCACGAGATGCGGCCGACGCTCCACGTGCCGCGCGACAGGATGCGGAACGTGCACAGGAAGCCCGATGCCGTGAGGAACGCGAGGCCCATGAAGATGGTGAACTCCTTGATCATGGCGCCGAGGGCGAGGAGGACGACGTTGTGGCGCAGGAGCGAGATGGTCAACCTCGGGAGGAGGACGCATCCGGCCAACCCGAGCGTGTCGAACGCGAGCGTCCCGAGCTCGTCGTCGCCCCTCGCGAGCCCGACGGCGCGCAGGCCGAGGAACGCAAACAGGACGACGCAGAAGCACGAGTCGAGGATGTTGAACGCGCCCGAGGCGTACGTCGTCAGGCCGTTGGCCGCGAGCGCGCTCCACTCGTCGAGCGCAAAGCCGATGCCCCACAGGACAAACAGGGCCTCGCACGCGTTGACGCGCTCGACGCGGTACGTGGCCTGGGTCGCGAGGAACAGGGCGAGCATGACGGCGAACGTGGCAAACTCGAGGCGGCCGCGGATGCGCGGCACGCGCAGGCGGTGGTGGTCGAGGTACGGGCGGCGGCGCCAGTCGTAGACCTCGACGACGGGCTTGGGCTTGTACGAGTCGACGAGGAGCGCGTTGGACGACGACTCGGGCGTGTAGATGACGTCGCCGCGGTCGATGGCGCGCACGACCTGCTGCACGAGCGGGCTCTTGAGGAACCGTTTGGCGCCCGAACTGACGGCGAGCTCGAGCGCGTTGGTCGCCTCGGCTTTGCCGAACTGGTCGAGGCGGTGCAGCTCGGCCTCGTCGACGCCCTCGCCCGGCGCAAACATGGTGGCCTCGGCGCCGGCGAACGGGTTGAACGCCATCGACAGGACGTGGAGGAGCTCGTGCGAGCCGGGCGCGACGCCGTACGCCGACAGGGCCTTGATGGCGAGGAGCTCGCACAGGTCGGACCGCGCGACATTGACGGCGCTGCCGGGGAGAGAGAGAGCGAGTCAGTGAGGGTGACGGCGCTCGAGGAGGGGGTGGGGACGCACGCAAAGGCGAGGTCGTCGTCTGCGCGCTCGACAAAGTGGGCGCGAACGAGCAAGAGGGCGTAGATGAGCGAGATGTGGGGCCTGTCGCCTTTGGTGAATTTGTGGACGAGGGGCCTTACGAGCGAGAAGTTTACGGCGGGGCTCTTGAGCTGGTCCCACGACAAGGGGGTGTCGACGGCGTCCTCGAGCTCCTTGGAGACGCGCTGCACGAGGGTGAAGACGGGCTCGTGGGCCGAGAGCGAGATGGCGCTCGAGAGGAGCGGGTCGGTGGACGCGGGCGAGGCCTCGGGGTCGTCGTCGCTGTGGGCGGTCGAGTGCGAGGGCGAGAGGGGCGCATAGCCCGCTGCGCTCGACTTGACCATGGTCTCGGGGACGGTGTGGTCGAGAGCTGAGAGGGAGAGAGTACTAGTCGTGACGAGCTGATGAGGGTGAGCAGCTCTCTCGAGTCTTCCTCGTCCCTCTACAGCCCGGGCACTCGCATGGAGACGCTCAGGAGAGACCTGCACGCCTCGGCAGCCCAGTGCAGCTCGCTCCTCACGCGCTACTCGAAACTCGCCCAGCAAGCCTCGACCAGCTACTCGTCGTCCGGCCTCGTCAAGGACGACCTCTCGCGCAGGCGCAAAGACCTCGAGGACGAGATCTCCAACTCGTTCGACTCGGTCAGCTCTCTCCCCCCGTCTCTCCTCCCTCGAGAGCCCGCCTCCACCTCCCGCCGCCGCCGCGTCCGTCAACCTCTCGCCAAGTGGGGGCTGACTCTCTCTCCCGCCCGCCCGCCCGCCCACAGTTCTCGAGCCAGGTCGACCGCCTCGCCAACCTGCACGCGACCGCGCACCCTCCACCGTCGGCCTCGGCCGCTCACGCCCTCGAACGGCACCGCGACGTCCTCCAAGAGTACCGCCGCGACTTTCAGCGCACCCAGGTGCGCACCCCGCGCGCGCTCTCTCTTTCCCTCTCTCCCCGATGAACTGACACTCGTTCGGTGCGCACGCAGACGAGCCTGCGAGACGCCGAGCAGCGCGCCAACCTCCTCGGCTCGGTCCGCGAGGAGATCAGGTCCGTCGCGCTCTCCTCTCTCCTCCCTCTCGCGCCCGACGCATCTCTCTGACGCCCCCTCGTCCGCCGCACCCAGCGCCTTCAAGACGGCGACCGGCTCGTCCGTCACCGACTCGCTCCTCGCCGAGCGCGGCAGGATCGACAACAGCCACCGCATGGCGGACCAGACGCTCGAGTGCGCCCCGGCCTGTCCTCCTCCTCCTCCTCCTCCTCGGCCCCGCACGAGCTAATCTTGCACGCAACCCGCACACAGGCAAGCGTACGCGACTCGCGCAGAGTTTGCCGCTCAGCGCTCGGGCCTGTCGGGCATCCAGGCGCGCATGAACGGCGTCGCCGGTGCGTTCCCTCTCTCTCTCCCTCTCGTGCCCTCGAGCCAGCCTGACAGCCTCTCTCGACCTCGTCGCGCAGCTCAAGTTCCCGGGCTCAACTCGGTCATCGGCATGATCAACTCGCGCCGGCGCCGCGACTCGGTCATCATGGGCACCGTCCTCGGAGTGTGCACCCTCTTGCTCCTCTTCTTCGTGTTTGGCTGAGGAACGCGGGCAGGCGTGCGGGAGGGAGGGAACCCGTGTGTGTGTGTTTTGACATGTGTTGTACAGCGTCCTCGCGCAAAGATACTTCGTCCGTCTCGCGATCCTCGTCCTTGCTCGACCCGAAAGCGCGCTCGCCCGCCCCGGCTCAGTCCTTCTTGGCCGCACCCGTACCGGCCGCCGCAACGCGTCTCCTCTTCCTCGGCTGCTCGCTCGCGTCGGCATCGGCGTCGTCGGCCACAGCGGCGGGCGCGACAAAGCTCTCGTCGGCGTCGAGCGCGTCGGCGTCGAGTTCCTCGTCGGGCTCCTCGACCGTCGCGGCGGCGGCCGCGTCAAAGTCGCCGTCGTCCTCGTCGTCTTCGTCGTCCGAGTCGGCGTCGCCGTCCTGTGCCGTGTGCGTGGGGGAGGGGAAGTTGGCGAGGTGAGCGAGGGCGCCGAGGGACGAGAGAGACGGGGGAGGCGAGGGACGCACGGCGATGAGGAAGCTGAGCCCAGGGCCATCGTCCTCGTCGTCATCGTCGTCGTCGTCATCGTCATCGTCGTCCGACTCGTCCGGCTGCTGCAGAGCGCGAGAGCGCCGAGGGCGCGCGGGGTCAGCGACGGGCGCGCGACGGTCCCGCCGAGAGGGGGAGAGAGACGAGAGGAGTAGGGGCGCACCTGCACGCTCGTAGGCTTGGAGGTGGGCACAGGCGCAGGCGCGGGCGCAGGCGAGGCGGGCTTGCTCTCGCCCACGGCGGCCGGGGTCGCGACGGCCGACGACGACGAAACGGCCGGGGTCGACTCGCCCGAGGCGGTGGTCGAGGGTGCGGTGGCGGGGTCGGCGGCGGATTGAGCGGCAGAGTCGGCCATGGCGGGAGTGGCTCCGGGGGTGTGGTCGAGGTGGGAGAGCGCGACGAGGGCCGGTCGTTCTCGTCGACGAGGAGATGAGGGGCTGGCGGGCGCCAACACAGCCTCCAGGGACAGCGTTCCCTCCAGAAAGCTTTGCGGGAATGGTCTCGTATTGACAGGAAGCGCAGCACCCAGCCAGGCGAGACGAGACGAGAGGCTCGAACCGCACGTTCCTTCGCGCACCTCGAGCGAAAGCGGCCAACCTCGCTCGCTCTCGCGAATCGAGAGGTCTGCAGCGGCAAAGAGTGCTCCATTGCTCGTCCTCGAGGAGCTCACCACCGCCCCTGACCACCGTACCCTCCCTGGCCGCCCTGCGCCGGGTAGTAACCCTGACCGCCCTGCGCTCCTCCTCCTGCTCCTCCTCCTCCCTGCTGCCCCGGACGCTGCCCCTGTCCCTGTCCCTGCTGCGCCGCCTGCTGCGCCGCAAAGAACCGCGGGTTGAGGTGCCCGCCGCCCTGCACCGCGATCGGGTTGTACCCCTCGCCGCCCGCGCCAGGCCCGCTCGCGTACGGCGCGTGCGGCGAGTACCCGCCTGCGCCGCCGCCGCCGCCGCCGGGAGGCCCGAGAGGTGGCGGTGCGGCCGGGTAGCCGTACGCGCCCGGGCCGCCGTAGTAGTGCGACGGCGGCGGCGGCGGCGGTGCGGCGCGGTAGGCTCCTGCGCCCGGGTACGACGGCTGCGCGCCGCCGCCTCGAGGCCCGGTGGGCGCCGCGCCGTAGTTGGGCGAGTAGCCCGCCGAGGGCCCGGAGGGGGGAGCGCCCGACCACGGCATGTGCGGCTGCGGCTGCGGCTGGGGCGGCGAGCGAGTCGCGCTCGGCCCGCTCGGCGGTGCGCCGAACGTGAAGGCGCCGGTCGGTGGCGGGGCGGCGCCGAACGAGTACGGCGCGGCGGTGTTTGACGAAGGAGAGGGAGGAGGAGGAAGAGGCTGGGAGGGGTGGGTCGACGAGGACGACGAGGCGGGCGCCGACATGCGCGTCGGTGCGTCGGTTGCGCCGTCGGCCATGGCAAAGTCGGCCTCGAACGTGGGCTTGCTCGGGAGGCCTGCTGGCGTGCTGGCGGACGTGGCGACGCGCCCTCGGGGCATGCCCGCGATCGGACGCCCGCCGGGTGAGCTGGTGCTCGTCGCCTGCACGCCGCCGCCCCGGCCCCCTCGCCCTCGAGCGCCCGCCGTCGCGCCGCCACGCTGCCCTCCCCTCTGCGCCCCGCCGCGCCCGCCCCTCCCGCCCCTCGCGCCGCCAAACCCGCCCTCGCGCTCCTCGTCCTCCTGCTCCTCCCCCTCGCTCCCCTCGCCGCTGCTAAACTCAAACTCGACCTCCTCGCCCTCCTCGAGCGTCGCGCCCGTGTCGCGCTCAAACATCCTGCGCCCGACCCGACCCGGCGGCGGCGCCGTGCCCATCGTGGCGCGCGGGCCTGGAGCAGCCGGCCCCGGGTTCATGGGCGCGGCGGACGGGACCGAGGGCGTGAGAAAGTCGTCGGCCGTGTCGGCGTACGAGACGGCGGGACGGGCGGGGAGGTGCGAGGGTGGGCCGCCGCTGGAGGACGAGGAGGTGGGAGGAGGAGCGGCGGAGGAGGGTGCGCGAGAGCCGCGGGAGCCCGAGGGGCCGGGCGTGGCGGACTGGGTGCGGGCCCTGCGGCTGGGGGCCGAGGGCGATCGAGTCAGTGCGGCGCCCAATGCGGCGAGAGAGAGCGCGAGAATCGCAGGACGCACTCGGCCTTGAGCTTGCGCTTGTACTCGGCCTCCTCCTCGTCGTCCGAAAACTCGAGCTCGTTGGCGGCCACCTCCTCGTCCCAGATGTTGCTCGCGTCGCTGCCCTTGACCTTGCGCAGGTCGCGCGTGAACACGAACGACGCGAGGTTGGGGCTGTAGAAGACGGCGCGCGCGTGCGTGAAGACGGCCGGGTCGGGAGGCGACGACGAGGGGAACCGGATCGAGTAGAACGGCTGCTGCACCGAGCCGAACGTCTCGAAGATCTGCGTGACCGGGTCCGAGTGAGCGTGTGGGCAACGATTGAGGCCGAGAGAAGGAGAGAGAGAGAGGGGGGGACGCACGGTGCCGATGACGGTCCGGTCCTCCCAGCACACGACCGTGCCCTCGTCGAGCACGCGCCAGTCGCCGCCCGTGTCGGCCTTGACGACGACGACCGTCTCAATGACGCTCTCGACCTTGCCGAACCGAGCGAGCTCGGCCTGGTCGTCAATCTTGGCGACCGGGGGCGGAGCGACGTCGGGCTCGACCACCTCGTGCTCCGTCTTGGGCGCCGTCTTGCTCGACGCCATGCCCGACTCACCGTCGTCGTCGTCGAGGTCCGAGTCACCGGCGGCGGCGGCGGCGGCGGCGCGCTGCTTGCCGCGACGGTTGCGCTGACGGGGGGCGAGCGCGGCCTCCATGGCGGCGTCCGAGTCGCTCGACGACGACGAGTCCGAGTCCGACGAGTCGTCACTGTAAGGAGGGAAGATTTATCAGTACGAGAACGCTCGTCGCGACGACGGGCGCAGCTCGAGAGAAGGAGGGAGATGAAAGGGGACGCACTCGTCCTGCATCCTGTCCTGCGCCCCCGCCTGCGCCGTCTCGGCCGCGCCCGCGCCCTCGCCGCCCATGACCTCGCCCTCCTCCTCGTGCTCGACCTCGACGACCTCGGCGCCGCGCGTGACGCCCTGTGCGCGCATCTCGTCCTCGACCTTCCTGAGCTCGTCGCCGCCGCCGTCCTGCTCGTCCACCTCGTCGCCGTCCGCTTCCATCTTGACCTCGCCCGCCCGCGCTGCAGCCGAGTCGGCAGTCGCGCGGTCCTTGAGCTCGCGGACGACCTGCTCGAGCTCGGCTGTGCCGCGAGCGGCGGCGGCGAGCTCGGCATGGTCCGGGTCGGCGGCGCCGAGCGAGAGGATGTGCTCGATGTCGGCGGGAAGGGCGCGCAGGGTCGACGAGGGCGAGGTGGTGGTGCTCGTCGCCGTGGGGAGGGCGGGGACCTTGAAGGTGTCGCCTGCGTCGTGCTCGACGGCGAGAGGGGCGGCGGCCGAGAGGGCGGCGACTACTGCCGAGCCCGGGTCGGCTGCAGTAGCGGGGCTGGTGTCGGAGGGTGCTGACGCGACAGGCTGGGCGGCCTGGAGGGCTGCGGGGCTGTCGGTGGTCGGCTCGGGTTGATGAGGTTGAGGCGGTGAAGGCGGACTCGAGGGGGCGACGTCGGGCGCAGGGGGGTCGGTGCGCTGCTGAGACTGGCCCTGACCCATGTTGACGGTGCTGGCTGGAGCAGTAGCTGGCTCTCTGGAGCACAGCGAGGAGACAGAGAGACAGAGAGCGACGGCGGACGAGCTCGCTGCGTCTCGTCCTGCAAGCTCCACCCTCTCGCACACGACGGGCGCAGCAGAGCCACTGTACAGTCGCACCGCAGCACCCCGACACAGTCGCACACCCACCCGCGAGCTCGAACTATCACGATGTCGCCCTCCCTCCCCCTCCTCCGCTCCCTCATCTCCCGAGCCGCCGCACCCCGCCCACTGCACGCCCTGAGCCGGCCAGCCGCAGCGCGCACCTTTGCGAGCACCAGTACCGCCCATGCCGACCCGCCAAAGGTCCCCGTCGCCCTCATCTCCAAGATCCGCTCGGCGCGCCCGGGCACCCCTCTCTCGCTCGCGCGCTCAGCCCTCATCGCCGCCAACCACGACCTCGACGGCGCCCTCGCGTGGATCGCCGACCAGGCCGCCGAGTCGGGCGCCAAAAAAGCCGAGAAGCTCGCCGGCCGCGCCGCCGACCAAGGCCTCGTCGCCGTCGCTGTCCTCGCCGACGGGTCCGGCGGCGTCGGCGTCCGCGCTGCCCTCGTCGAGTTGAGGTGCGAGACCGACTTTGTCGCGCGCACGGACGAGTTCCGCGAGCTCGCCGAGGGCATCGCGCGCAGCCTCGCCTTCTTCGCCGAGCCCTCGTCGCCGTCGTCGTCGGCGGCGGCGGCGGCGGCAGCGGCGGCGCACCAGCTCGTCCAGCTCGACCCCAAGGCCGCCACCCTCCTCGATACGCCCGTCGTGCCCCCGCCGCACAAGGCCGCCGCGCTCGCCGCCGCTGCGGGGTCGGGCGACTCGTCGGCGCCGCCTTCGCACGAGACGGTCCACACGAGCCTCGCGTCGCTCGTGTCGCGCCTCGGCGAAAACATCCGCCTGCACCGCGCGTCGTCGGTCGCGCTCGAGCCGACGATGCCGGCAGACGACCCGCCGGCGTCGGAGCGCAGCGTCTACCTCGCGTCGTCGTACGTCCACGCGAGCAAGACGCCCACAGCGGCCGCCGCCGACGGCGTCCAGTCGGGCCTCCTCGGCGGCCTCCTCCTGTCGCGCCTTCCGGCGAGCTCGGCCCCGTCGGTCGACCCGGCAGAGGTCAAGGGCCTCCTGCGCGCGCTCGCCCGCCAGGCCGTCGCCCTCCCGACCACGTGCATCCGCGGCGCCGGTCCGGCGCCGTCGAGCACGAGCTCGGGCGCCGAGTCGGGCGAGCCGAGCACGGCGCTGTACGACCAGGCGCTCATCACGATGGCGCCGAGCGCCAAGTTTGAGTTTGAGCACGGCAGCTCGGTCGGCGACGTCCTGAGCCGGTGGAGCGAGGCGCGCGGCGTCGACGGCAGCGGGCTCGAGGTCGTCGAGCTCGCGCGGTGGGAGCTTGGCGAGGAGGGCGAGGGCGAGCAGGCGCAGGCATAGAGCTGTGCGTGCAGACGTGCATCGAGATCAAGAGCGGGCGTCGAGCCCGCACAGCAGTTCCCCACTCTCTCTCTCTCGCGCGCGCGCCCAGTGCGAGTCACGCAGAGACGCTCGTGCCCCTGTGCGAGAGATTGACAAGCTTTCGAGAGCAAAAAGGCGCAGCGGGTCGCCGCGAGAGCCGGAACCATGGCTCGAGGGCAACTTGAGAAGGCCGCGAGTGCGCGCTCAGGCCTCCGTCCGCCTCGCTCTCGTCTCCCGTCCGCGCGATCAGCGCTCGAGCTTCTTTCGCTCGACGACGGCCTCCGGAGCAGCCCGTACCCCGATAGCGCGTCGCCGCCGTCGCTCGGCGTCCTCGCTCTCCCTCTCCCTCGCGCCGCTTTCGCTCTCCTTCTCGCCCTCGACCGCTTATGGCAGCGATTCAGCTCACCGTCTCGGCCATCCTCTTCGACTCGGACGGCACCCTGATCGACTCGACGCCCGCCGTCCGTGCAACCATCTCGCGCTGGTGCGCCGCGCAAGGCGTCGACCCGCGCGCGTTCGCCGCCGCGCAGCACGGCACGCGCGCAAAGGACCTCCTGCGGCGGTTCGCGGCGCGGCCGAAGAGAGGGTGCGAGATGAGCGAGGAGGAGCTCGATGCGGCGGTCGAGGAGCTCGAGAGTGAGGTCGGGCGGACGGCGGCGGGGATGGCGAGTGAGGGAGAGCGCGGGATCGTGATGCTTCCGGGCGTTGAGAGGATGCTCGAGAAGCTCAGGGAGGGCAGGGCAAACTGGGGCGTCGTGACCTCGGGTGCGTCGTCGTCGTCCTCGCGCTCGAACCTCCTCCTCGCGCCTCCTGACCCTCCTTCTCCCTCGCAGCGACCCGCACTCACGCCTGCGCCGCACTCGATGCCGCAGGCGTCACGTTGAGCTCTTTACCAGTCCCTGTCCTTGTCACGGGCGACCTTGTCAAGGAGGGCAAGCCGCACGCCGAACCGTACCTCGCAGGAGTAGCAGGTGCGCACGAGCCCCCTCCCTCTCTCTCCCTCTCTCTCCCTTCGAGGCTGACGCTCTTTCCTCTCGTCGCAGCCCTGCAGAAGCTCCAGCCGTCGCTCGAGGCCAAGGGCGTTCTCGTCATCGAGGACGCGCCCGCCGGGCTGCAGAGCGGCGACGCGGCAGGATGTCGCGTCCTCGCCGTGTGCACCGGGCCCGTCGCCGCAGTCGACGTCGTGCAGGCTGCAGCGGACATCGAGGGCGCCATCGTCGCGCGGGACCTGAGCAGGTGCGCGGGCTCGTCTCGACTCTCTCGAGTGCGAGCCTCCTGACCCTCGCTCTCCTCCCGCAGCGTCGAGCTCGTCTCGTGCACGCCGGACAGCATCACTCTGCGCATCGAGCCTCTCTCTCTCTCGTAGCCAGCTCTAGACCGGGTCAAGTGGCTGTATTGCGAGGCTCGCGCGCCCCCTTTTCAGCCCAAGAACCCTCTCGGTGGCCGGCCGTGCATCGGCATGGGCGGCGGCATGACGCCGCGCACGAACATGGGCTGGCCCCCAGGCGCGAGGCCGTGCTGCGGGAGCGGGCCGAGCGCGCCAAAGCCCGGGTTGGGCGAGTCGTTGCGCGGCGCGACGGGCGGAGGGGGCTCGACGGGCGCCTTGAAGTTCTGCGGGGGCGCGGGCGACGAGGTCAGGTCGGGTTCACGCTCGTCGTCGTCTTCGAGAGAGAGCGAGAGAGAAAGAGAGAGACGCACCGTCTGCTTGCCCTCGCGGTACACGTCCTCGAGCGTGTCCTCCCACGAGCCCTCGGCCTCGAGGCGCTGATAGTGCTCGTACAGCTGCAGCGCCGTCCTCGCGTCCTCGATCGAGTCGTGCGTGTCGGCCTGGATCGCCGAGTGGAGCACGGCGTACGCGAGGAACCGCAGCGAGAGCTTGCGCTGTCGGGCGGGCAGGTGGTAGATGTTGACCGTGTCGATGATCTGGTGCGGCGGGACGTAGATGTCTGTGGCGCGAGCGACGGGTCAGGGGACGCTCGACGAGGTCGAGGGAGAGACAGGGACGCACTGATGATGCGGAAGTCCTTGTTGAGCCCGTGTCCGATGAAGACGCAGCCGAGGTCGACGAGCATGCGCAGCTTCTTGTACGCCACCTTGAGCGGCACGAGCGTATGCCGCGAGTGGACCGGGTCGAGGTCGCCCGCTGTGGGCGAGGAGGAGGAGAGAGAAGGCGAGTGAGCTCGAGCCGGCGAGAGAAAGAGAGGGCCGGCGACGAGAGAGAGGGAGAGAGAGAGCGAGGACGAACCGCGGATGCCCGAGAACTCGGTGAGGTAGTCGACGACGGGCTCGCTCGTGTGGATGTGGTCGTCGATGAACGGGATGCCCGTCTCGGTGCCCTCGCCGCGCAGGACCGACACGCGCGCGAGCGTCTGCCGCGACGGCCGCAGGACCTTCTTGGTCCCGTCCGAGTGGAACTCGGCCTCCTCCTGCTGCAGCGAGACAAACTCGGCGTCGATGGCGACGAGCGTGCCTCGTCGTGGCAGCTCGTCGAGGCGGAACGGCTGGTGCTTGATCATCGAGCGGTCGCGGTTCCTGCGGGAGCACGTCGTCAGGCTCGTCGCAGGGCAGGTCGCATAGGGATGGACGAAAGACGCACTTGGAGATAGTGATGTCCTCGCAGAGGATGGCGGGGTCGCTCCGTAGCGGCAGGTCCGAGAAGTCGAGCATCTCCCTCGAGTCGACGCGCTCGTAGAAGAGGACGGCCGGGATCTGCGGGCGCACCTGCAGCGTCAGGCGTGCTTCTCGAGAGACAGGGAGAGGGAGAGAGGGAGACGCACCTTCCACTTGCCGGGAAAGCTGAGCGCCTCCGCCTGGCTGACGGGGCGAACGAGAAAGTCGTTGAAGAGGTGCCACGACGAGCCCGGCTCCTTCTCCTCGTCCGATACTGTAGGCGCTCGACATCAGTAAAGGTCGAGTGCACGAGGCGAAGGAGTAAGGAGAAGAGGAGACGTACCGCGAGCGAACGAGACGAGGTGAGGCGCCTCGCCCTCGGCCTGGATCTGGACGACCATGGCCTGCGCGAGCACTTCGTCAGTGACACGCTCTGGACAGGTCGCACGACAGACAAAGGGAGAGAGGGACGCACCCTCAGCTCGTACTCGACCTCGCCTTCTGCCGCCTCGCCCTCGGACCCCTTGACGACCGCTCCGCCGCCCTTCCCCCGCCCGAGCCTGAACCGGCTCAGGACAAACCTCGACCCGTCCCTCTCCCTGCCGTCCCTCCACAGCTCGAGCTCCTCGGCCGTGCGCACGCCCGCGTTGAGCGTCAGGACGGGCGGGAGGCGCGCCGGGTCGGACGGGAGCGTGCGGCGAATGCGCACGTGCGTGTTCTGCCGACACGACGAGCACGGGAGGCGCGCCATCGTCTCGCGCACGATCGACGACGACAGGATGGCCGAGAAGGACGTGGCGGGCTGCTGCTCGTTCGACATGGCCTGCGGGCAGAGGGCCTCGAGGCGAGGTCAGTGACCGGCGACCTGCGCGACGAGGACTCGAGAGAAACAGAGAGCGAGTGAGACGCACCCGTCGCGGGTACTGCAGGTCGATGACGTTGAGGCCCGTCTCGCGCTCGGACGTGACGCTGCAGTTCTGGCACGTGCTGAGCGACTGGGCGTCGACCTTGACGACCTGGGCGAGCGGCGCCTTGACGGGCACGCCCGGCGGCGCGTTCTTGAGGAGCGACGGCGCAGGTGGCGGCGGGATCCTCGGCGACGACGACGTGGCCGGGATGGCGGGCAAGGTCGACTCGGACGTCATGCACTCGAGAAGGAACCGGTTGAAGGTCTGGATCAGGGTCGCGTACGCGACCGACTTGGCCGCGTCGTTCTCGTGGTCGATGAGGCCGAGCGCCGCGATCTGCGGGTTGGCGCCGAACGCGCGCGAGAAGTTGGACGCTTGGCAGTTCATGCCGCGCGCGTCCTCGAGCATGCGGAACAGGAAGCCGGCCTCGCACAAGAGGCAGTTCTCCTTGGGGCACGCCTCGAACGTGTGGCTCTTGGCGACGGTGCGCACGGGGCGCAGGTAGTGCAGCGCCTGCAGGAGCGAGTTGGTGTACGAGTTGGTGATGTGCGTCTCGAGGCCCGAGTGCGGCGTCTTGTTGTAGAACCTGCTCTCGAGGGGGCGCACAGTCAGGGCTTGTCTCGTCGTGCAAGGAAAGGAAAGGGAGAGAGCACAGAGGGACGCACGCAAAGTCAAAGTCCTCGATGCCGAACCGGCTGTACTTGATCTCGACCTTGCGGTAGTACTTGGGCATCTCGTCCTCGCCGTTGTGCTCCTCCTCGGGCTCGGCCTCGGTCGTCGCCTGCTTCGTGTGCGGGAGAGCGTTAGTCAGGCTCTCGAGTCAAGGAGGGAGAGGGAGGGAGAGTGGGACGCACCGAGTCGCCGAAGTCGCGCCTGCGCTTGGCGTCGGCGCGCTCGCGCTCGCTGCGGAACATGGGCGCGTCGACGCCGAGCCGGCCCGCGCCCGCCGCACGCGACCCGGCCGGACCGCGCACCTGGTTGCGCCGGACGGCCGACCGCAGCTGGGCCGGGTAGGCCGCGTACCCGACAAAGTCGACCGTCTTTGCCGAGGCGGCCACCTGCGGGTCGATCGGCATGCGGCGGTGCGACGCCGTGTGGGTCGTCGTCATGTGCTGCGGGAACATGCTGAGGAGCGGCGACGAGTAGAACGGCATGCCGACCGAGTTGAGCGGCGTGTCGTCGCGCCAGTCGATGCGCTCGGGGAGGTCGACCGTGTCGGGCAGCTCGACGTCGCCGTCGTAGCGGCAGAACTTGGCCTCGCCCTCGGCGGGTTGCGCCGACCACAGGTGCAGGTAGCCCTCGGCGTCGCCGAACGCGAGGCCCTCGCCCGTCGGCGAGATGGCCATGGACGTGAGGCCGCTCGGGGTCCCGATCTCGAAGACCGAGCTCTTGCCGACGTCCTTGAGGTCGAGCATCTGCACTCGGCCGTCCGAGCTGGCGACGACGACGTTGCCCGACAGGCGAGGGTGGAAGCGCACGAGCGCGGGCGGTGTCGGGAACGGGATCGGCGAGAGCGGGCGCAGGTACCGCGTGTCGAACAGCTTGAGGTACGGGTCCGGGAGCGGAAGACCTTGTCTGCGAGGAGGACCGAGAGGCATGAACGTGACGTCCGGGCGCGAGGATGAGGGGAGGAGGAAGGAGGGACGGACCGCATCGTGAAGCCGACCGTGACGATGTAGTTGCCCTCGGTCTCGAGCTGGCTGATGCCGCCCGTGTGCGCGAGGACCGTCTCGCCGATGGTGAACTCGGGCGTGCGAGTGTCGAGCAGGCACAGCGAGCCCGTGATGGTCGACCCGACGAGCTGGCTCGACCGTCTCAGGTGGACGAACGACAGCGGCGAAGGTTGCTGCAGTGCGGGCGGAACCGTGTGAGCGCCGGAGCTCGACATGACAGCGTGCAGCGTCTTGTCTCGAGGGCCCGACGCAGCGCGCAGGACGATGAATGAGAGACTCGGCGGCTCACCTTGCGGACGACGGACCCTCGCGAGAGGTTGACGACGACCATGTCGCTGCCCGGGCCCGTCGCGACGATCTCGGACGAGCGTGACGGCGTGTAGGCGAACGTGGTGAGCGGTACAGGCGGGTCGGTCCTGCAGCGCGGACGAGGTGGGGGAAGAAGGGGAGGGTCAGCGAGGCGCGACGAGGGCGAGACGCGAGAGAACAAGGGAGAGAGGACAGGGCCGGACGCACTCGACGCTCCACAGGGTCATGCCCCTGCGGTTGGCGAGCTTGACGCTCCCTCCTCCACCGCTCCTGCCGGGCATGCTGCCGCCGCCTCCGACGCTGAGGATGCCGGACGGGTCGACGCCCATCTCGCCGACCGCGCCCCAGTGCGCGCGGTAGCTCGTGTAGCGGCCGCCGAGGCCGGTCGTGGGCTGGCAGAAGTAGCTCGCGACGGTGCCCGAGGGCGAGCCGGCGAAGACGAGGGGCGACATGGGGTCGAACGCGAGGGCGGTTGGCGGCGAGGGGAGGAACTGGGAGGGGAGGGGCTGCCAGACGGACCCCTCGTCGTCGCCTGCGCCATACTGGGCGTAGCTCATGACGCGCACGGCGGTCGCGAGCGGGCGTCTCGCTCGAGAGACGGGGGAGCGAGGTTGGCGAGGTGAGTCGCGCGTCTGGTGAGGGTTGCGCGTGTCGAGTGTGGTCCTTGACGGTGTACCGTGCACTCGGCTGGTCGGAAAGAGCCTCTTGTCGCGGTGGAGGACGCTGGCTTGGAGCGAGTTCGTCGTTCGCTCGAGATCAGAGCCTCGCTACTCTCCCTCCTTCCCACTCGCTCTCTGGCGGTGCGCTCTTGCCTGCAATGAGGCCACACAAGCTGTCCTCAGCCCCCCACGCTCTGCCGTCTTGCTCCAAGCTCGCGACGACCGCTCGCTCGTCGTCCCCGACCTCGAGCCCTCCGGGCACGCGTCAGACGCGACCGAGCGAGGCAGACGGCTCGCAGGGCTGTGCGCTGCCGCCCCTTGGCTTCCTTCCCTTCACTCGCTGGTCCTCCCGGCTGCGCCACCCCTGCTCGCGCCGCTCGGCTCGTCCTTCCTCGCCTCGCGTTCACCTCTCCCCACCCCGCCGTTCGCCGCCTTCGCCCACCGCCTCTCTCTCCGCCATGAGCACCCACGACGACACGATCAAGACGCCCGCCTTCGACACGTTCGGCAACGACGAGCTCGCCGCCATGGAGGGCATCACGGGCCCTCCCGCCGACCAGCTCGTGCGCCTCTGCGGCATCCTCGACGCGGTCGCCGCCGAGCCCGGAACCGAGCTCGCCGTGCTCGAGAACGCGGCAGGTGCCGGCATCCTCACGCTCAAGCTCAAGGCGCAGCTGCCCGGTGACGCCAAGGTCAAGGTCGTCGCCGGCGACGTCGAGCGCACAATGATCGACCTCGCGACTTTGCGCTTCAAGACGGCGGGTCTGGACGGCGTGCGAGCTCAAGTCATCGACGGGACGGTGCGTCTTGTCTCTCTCTCGGTCCTCGCTCGCTCGGCGAACCCGCTGAATCGACTCTCCCCCCTGCCTTTGCGGCTCTCGACAGGCCATCCCGTTCGCCGACGACTCGTTCGACTACTCGTTCATCCACTTTGGCATTCAGCTGTACCCTGACCCGGCCAAGGGCCTGTCTGGTGCGTCCCGCCTTTCCTCGCCGCAACCTCTCCTCTCGCGCCCTCGCACTGACCTCCTCGCCCCCTCTCCCTCGCCGCCCTCGACCGCCTCGCCCGCAGAGTCCCTCCGCATCCTCCGTCGCGGCGGCACCCTCGCCCTCACGACCTGGCACACGCCCGGCTTCCTCCCGCTCCTCCAGCAAGCCGACCCGTCCTTCCCGACCCCTCCCCCGATGCGCCACCCGCTCGCGCTCCGCTCGACCGCCGCGTCCGTCCTCGTCGACGCAGGGTGCGCCCCGGACAGCGTCGCCATCGAGGACGTGTGCGTGCGGGTGCCGTTCGAGGGCGTCGACGCGTTCTTCGAGCTCATGCGCAAGGGGATGAAGGGTCTCGTCACCGACGAGGAGCGCAACGGGCGCATGAGGCGCGTGATCGAGGAGACGTACGGCGACGGGCCGTTCGCGCTCGAGTGGCTCGGGCTCGCCATCGTCGGGAGGAAGGCGTGAGGCTGGAAGGGGGGGCAGCGAGCTCGAGCGAGGGCGGCTTTTCGCTCTCTTCTCTCTCGAGGCGGGACGAGCACGCGAGGACGAGGAGTACGATCGTGTTTGCAATTGCTAAATCGACGTGAGGAAAGAGACAATGTGCGAGAGGAGGAGAGAACAACGAGGGGGAGAACTGGGGGGCGAGAGGACAGGCTCGAGCGCGAGAGGGAGGAAAGTTCGCCGACGAGGGACCAGCCCGCGTCGGCACGGACGGACGAGTAGTAGAGGGAACGCTATGGACAGGCGCGACGAGTGCGAGCGAGGCGTGTACAGGGGGTGGAAAGGGGAGGGAGGAGAGGGACAGCGCTCAGTCGACCTCGACCTTGGAGCCGACGCCTAGAGGCTGCTCCTTCTTGGTCTGCGACGACATGCTGAGGCCTGCGACGCCCGAGCTGAGCGGGTTGAGGTCCTTCTTGAGGCGCGAGCCGCTCGCGGCCGACGGGTCGGGCGAGTGGCGCGGCGAGTTCCTCGGCGACGGGACGGCGTTGAGGCGCACGTCCTGGAGGTCGAACAGCTGCTGGCCGACGGGCTGCGTCGCCTGCATGAGCGGCGCCGGTGGTGGTGCGCCGGGCGTCGACCCGGCGTGCTTGAGGCGCGAGCGCGTCACCTCGGCCGGCGTCGGCGGCGCCTGCTGCGGCGGCGGCGGCGAGTGTGGGACGGCGAATGGCGACGACGCGCTCGACTCGAGGTTGGTGTCGGACGGCGTCGAGCACGCCGAGGAGGACGACGACGACAGGGACGAGTCGGAGAAGGTCGACGTCAGGCCGGGCAGCGGCGCGAGCCTCGACGGCGCCGCGCTCGACCGCTTGCTCGCCATGGACGACGCTCGCGACAGCGACGACGCCGGCGTGTCCCACCCGTCTCCCTCGGGCGTGCCCTTGCGCGAGGGGGGCTTTTGCCGCGGCGCGCTGCGGTACGGCTCGAGGGTCGGCTCGACGACCTCGTCCCGCGGCGTCGTGACCATGACCGGGAACGGGTAACCCGACGACGGCGTCGCGAGGCGCACGGGCTTGGGGCGAGCGGGCTGCGCAGCCGGGTCCTGCTGGGCCGCGGCGGCGGCGGCGGCGGCTTCTTGCACTCGGCGGACGCTCGCCGCGTGCTGCTCAATGGCCCGCAGCGAGTCGTTGCGGCGGACGTGGTTGCGAGGTGGTGACGGCGAGGCGTCGCGCGAGGTGCTGGGTGGGTGCGCCATGCTGGCGGCGGTGGACGACGAGGCGACGGTGGCCATGGGCGGCGACAGTGCGAGTGCGAGCGAACGCGAGGGCGAGCGGCGTATGTGTTGGTTGCGGTGGAAAGGCGGGGGAGAGTCGAGCGGGTGCGGCGTCGGCTCGAGCAAGTTGGGCACCGGGGCAAGGTTGTCGAGTCGTGGTGGTGGTGGTCAAGGGGAGAGGGACGCTCGCGAGCTCCTTTGCGCTCGGGGCACAGGCAGCGGAGGCAGAGGAACCCAGAGGGAGTTCCAGGGGGACAGCGAGCGCGCGCCGCAGTTTCAGAACTCGGAGATGACGACCACGGGCGGCGCGTGCGGAGGCGAGGCTGTGTCGTTCACCGCCGCGCGCGCCGGCTGCCGCGATTTGCCCACCCGGCCGCTCGCCTTTTTCGCGCGCCCTCGCAGTCGCTCGCCCACGAGGTTTGGCGAGGTGCGGCCGCAAAGAAGCGCGTCTCACGCAAGGCCGAGGCGGTGCGAGCGGTCGCTTTCTCCTCGCCCTTTTTCCTTTCCCACTCGGCACCGCCGCGGGCCAATCGGTGCTGCGGGCGCACCGCTTTTGATCTCGACTGCGCTCTCTCTGTCCCTCGGCTGCGTTTGCTCGCCCTTGCATGGCGCCAAGCTCGCTCGCTCGTGCTCCTTGGCGCGCATGCCAGACCGCCCTTGTCGGCTCTGGACTGTGCATCGCCGACGAGGACAGACACGCTTGTTCGCAAGGTGAGCGATCCGCAGCGAGAGCCGCGAGTTGCCAGGGGGCGTCGGACTCGGGGATGCGCTGCGCCTCGCTCGGAATGGGTGCTCTCTTTCCAACATGCAGCGCTTGCACCGCCCGCCCTTGTCGTCGGCGTGCCTGCATGCCGCCCCTGTGCAGTGAGGCAAGTTGAAGGCGCGCTCGTCGACAGCTCGGCTCGAGCTTCCTCGCTTTTTGCGGACGTGCTCCTCGCTCGCTCCGCTCACCTGGACGCGTGCTCTACGAATCAGCACACAGCGGAAGCCAGCGAGAGAGCACGAGACGCTGCCGGCGGCGACCTTCTCAAACGGCGTCGACGCTCTCTTCGTCGTTCGAGACTCTGCGGCGCTTCCGAGACGAGCGGCACCTGCGTGTGCAGCCCTGTACGACGCGTCGAGCAAGTTCGAGGCACAAAGGAGCGAGCGAGCGACGCAGAGAGCGGTGCGAGACGCGAGCAGGTCCGAGCGGCGAGGGAGCGGGTGGCCAGGACGACGAGTTCTGCCGCGACGACGTCGCCCGGCCGCGTCGTGCGTCGTCCTTGACTCTCGAGAGAGAGTGCGTGCGACCGGCGCCAGCAGGCTCGGGCCCGGTAGAGAGCGAGCGCGTCGCCAGCCTGTCTCCTCGTTGCTCTCGCTCTTGCTCTCGCGGGGCGCTCCCTTTCTCGCACTCTCGACACCTCGCCGCAGAGAGAGACACGAACGAGAACGAGAGAGAGAGAGAGTACAGCTATATTTCCGTCGTGCAGGTAGGCAGGCGAGAGGAGGGGGGGAGGGAAGGACCGGGCAAGCAGCAACCGAGCGAGTCGAGAAAAAAAGGGGGAGGGGGGGATGCAAAGGAGGGCGACGTGCACTGGGTAACAGGGAGCACGTCGACGAGGGAGAGGGGAAGGGAGGAGGAGAGGGGACGACTGGCTCACGCCGACTTGGACTTGGCCATGTGGTTGAGCGCCGAGCCGGCACGGTGCCACGCGATCTGGCCTTGGTTAAAGGTGTGAACGAGAGGAAGGTCCTCGGTAGAGCCGCTGCAGGGTACGAGGCGTCAGTAGGAGGCAGGCGAGAGGAGGAGGGAGAGAGAAGGGACGGACTCCTTGTGGTGGACGCGGAGGGTGACCTCGGAGCCCTCGGCGAGCTCCTTGATGCCGATGAGGTCGACCTTGTCGTCGGGCTTGACGCGGTCGTAGTCGGCCGGGTTCTTGAAGTTGAGCGGGAGCATGCCCTGCTTCTTCAAGTTGGTCTCGTGGATGCGGGCTGCGGATCGAGGGGAGGCGCGAGGTTAGTTCGGCCGTCTCAAAGTGATGGCGAGCGAAATAAGACGGACCGAACGAGCGCGTGATCACGGCCGTACCGCCAAGGAAACGAGGCTCAAGAGCGGCGTGCTCGCGGGACGAGCCCTCGCCTGCAAAGAGAGGAGAAAGAGTCAACTCCTCGCTCGCTCGCTCGCTCGACATCCACCCCAGTCCCTCCCTCCTCGCCGCCCCGCTAGAGACCCGCTCGACGCACCGTAGTTCTCGTCGCCAATGACGACCCAGCCGATGCCGTGGTCGCGGTAGTACGCGCCGACCTCCGGAACGCCGCCCCACGCGCCCGTCATCTGGTTCTGCACCTTGTTCGCCTCGCCGTTCGCCTCGTTGATCGCGCCGATCAGGCCTGCACGTCGACCGGCGGTACGAGCGGTGGTCGCGAGAGGGCGAGAGGGCGAGGGTGGTCGTCGGGGAGGGAGCGAGGCGAGACGAGGGCGAGGCGAGGTGGTGCGGGTCGAGTGCCGGGCGAGGGCGAGGTCGGCGCAGCGTCAAAAAGGCGAGTCGTTGACGGGTGCGAGGAGGTGGGGGGTAACGCAGGTGAGGCGGCGTGAGGGTGAGGCGGCGAGAGGGAGGATGGGGAGAGGGGGGAGGACGAGCCACTAGGCGAAAGAGGCGCGCGCTCGACGATGCCTTCGCTTTGAGTGCGCGTAGGGAGCGAGCGACTCGAGCCGTTCACCGTGGGCGAGCGCGCGACAGGGAAGCGGCTCAAGCTTTCCCCCGCAGAAGAGGCTCGAGCGGCCGCAGCACGCCCGCTCGCCGGAAGCAAGCACGGCGACGCTGGCCTGCACGTCCCGCCGTACGCGGTCGAGAGCGCTGCGAGCCCAGTACTTCGCAACGCTGGAGCCGTGCGAGCGCCGAATCTGTAGAAGGGAAGGAGAAGAAAAGCGAGGAAGGGAACCCGTCCGAGGTGCACGAGGAGAGGGACGCTCGTCGACGCCGGCTCGCTCTGACAGCTCGGCAGACGCAAGTTGACATCTGTCGAACGCCGGCGCCAGACGGCCGAATGATCGGGTGTCGAAATGGACGGCAGAGGATTGTCCGCGGGATGGTCCGAGAGGCGCGCGCGACCAAAGTGAGCGACGAACCACTCGCGCAGTCGACTTGTCCAGGGCGTCGGCCGCCTTATCATAGACGCTTGCAGGTCCTCGCAGGCGACAGACACGCTCAAGACGCACGAGAGACGACCGAGTCGAGCGAAGCGGCGGTCGGAGCGCACGGTGAGGAGCGCCAGGTCGTGCCCGGTGGGCGCTTGTCGACGACGGGCAGTGGTCGGAACCGTCGCCCGGTCGACGTTGCCCGTCGAGACGAGCTGCTTGCGAGTGGGAGAGCGCGGCGGGCGAGGTCGGGAACCGCTCGACCCGTTCTCCGGCCGGAGCCTCGAAGTGCGGCGCGCGCGCGCGGAGCGGTCGGCCTGCGTGGCCGCCTGGTCGCCCTCCTCCTCCCCCTCCTCCTCCCCTCGTCCCTCAGCCTCACCAGACCCAGGGTGAGCTCTCCTGTCCCTCTGGATTCGCAGAACGAGCACGCTTGAGCCGCCGAGCCGTGCACACGCGCTCCCGCTCGGCCGCGGCGAGTGGGGACGAGCGTCGGCCGGCGACCAGCCAATTCGCGCCCACGCTTTCGTCGTCGCCCTCCCTCAGCGCCTCTCGCCTCGAGCGCACCGTACTGACCTCGCCCGACCTTTACCCCTCCTCACAGAGCAGTTCCACCATGGTCCTGCTGCCCTCTGCCCGCGCCGCCATGCGCTCGCCCGCCCTCTCGCGCTCGCTCGCGACCCCGGCCAGCAACATTGGCGCGACCAAGGTCCCCATGTCGCTGTTCGACAAGGACCGCTACATCAACTACCAGCGCATCGAGGACAACCTCGCCGTCGTTCGTCAGCGGTGCGTCCTCTTCTTCCTCGGACCGCGGGTCGACCCCTCGCACCTTGCGCGTGCTATCGTCGACCTAGCTTGCCCTCGAGCCTCGTGAAAGACGTACTGACTCTGTCGTGACCGTCCTCGCAGCCTCAACCGCCCTCTCGCGCTCTCGGAGAAGATCCTGTACGGCCACCTCGACAACCCGCACGACGCCGACATCCGCCCCGGCGCTTCGTACCTCAAGCTCCGCCCGGACGTGCGTCGCCTCGTCCTCGCCTCTCAGCCGTTCGAGAAAGAGTATTCTGACCCTCGTCGCCTTTGCCCTCGCAGCGCGTCGCGTGCCAGGACGCTACCGCCCAGATGGCCCTCCTCCAGTTCATGTCGGCCGGCCTCCCGACCGTCGCCGTCCCGACCACCGTCCACTGCGACCACCTCATCGAGGCCCAGGTCGGCGGCCCCAAGGACCTCGCTCGCGCCAAGGACATCAACAAGGAGGTGTACGACTTCCTCGCGACGTGCACGGCCAAGTACGGCATCGGCTTCTGGAAGCCCGGCTCGGGCATCATCCACCAGGTGCGTCCCTCTCGTTCGTGAGGAGCGTCGAGCGGAGCGGGAGCGAGCGAGAGCCTGACTTGGGAGAGCCCGCCTGCAGATCATCCTCGAGAACTACGCCTTCCCGGGCGGCCTCATGATCGGCACCGACTCGCACACGCCCAACGCCGGTGGCCTCGGCATGATCGCGGTCGGCGTTGGTGGAGCCGACGCCGTCGACGTTATCGCCGACCTTCCCTGGGAGCTCAAGTGCCCGAAGCGGATCGGCGTCAAGCTCACCGGCCAGATCTCTGGCTGGACCACGCCCAAGGGTGCGTCCTCGTCTCCCCTCGTCTGCGCCATACGTACGTGCGTGCATGGACCTGACCTCGTTCCGCCGCCGACAGACGTCATTCTCAAGGTCGCGGGCATCCTCACCGTCAAGGGCGGCACGGGCGCCATCATCGAGTACTTCGGCGAGGGCGTCCAGTCGCTGTCGTGCACGGGCATGGCCACCATCTGCAACATGGGCGCCGAGATTGGCGCCACGACGTCGCTGTTCCCGTACAACTCGCGCATGGGCGACTACCTCGACGCGACCAAGCGCGGCGACATCCGCAAGTACGCCGAGTCGTTCCAGCACAACCTGCGCCCGGACGAGAACGTCGACTACGACCAGGTCATCGAGATCAACCTGTCGGAGCTCGAGCCGCACATCAACGGCCCGTACACGCCCGACCTCGCGACGCCCCTGAGCAAGTTTGCCCAGGCCGTCAAGGACAACAACTGGCCCGAGAAGCTGTCGGTCGGCTTGATCGGCTCGTGCACCAACTCGTCGTACGAGGACATGTCGCGCGCGGCGTCGATCGCCGACGAGGCGGCCGCCCACGGCCTCAAGGCCAAGTCGGGCTTCACCATCACGCCCGGCTCGGAGCAGATCCGCGCCACGATCGAGCGCGACGGCCAGATGAAATCGCTCGAGCAGATTGGCGGCACCGTCCTCGCCAACGCGTGCGGCCCGTGCATCGGCCAGTGGGACCGCCAGGACGTGCCCAAGGGCACCGCCAACTCGATCATCACGTCGTACAACCGCAACTTTACCGGCCGCAACGACGCCAACACGGCGACGCACGCCTTTGTCGCCTCGCCCGACCTCGTCACGGCCATGGTGTTTGGCGGCTCGCTCACGTTCAACCCGATGACCGACTCGCTCAAGGGCGCCGACGGCAAGGAGTTCAAGTTCTCGGACCCGTCCGGCAAGGAGCTCCCGCCCCGTGGCTACGACGCCGGCGAGAACACGTACGCGGCGCCGCCCGAGGACCGCGCGTCGGTCAACGTCATCGTCGACCCCAAGTCGGACCGCCTCCAGCTCCTGACGGCCTTCAAGCCGTGGGACGGCAAGGACCCCAAGGGCCTCCCCGTCCTCATCAAGGCCGTCGGCAAGTGCACGACCGACCACAGTGCGTCCCCGTCGTCCTCTTCGTCCTCGTCGTCCCGTGCCAGGGCCGGACCTGACCTTCTTCCTCCCTCCCTCTCTCGCAGTCTCGGCCGGTGGCCCGTGGCTCAAGTACCGCGGTCACCTTGAGAACATCTCGCAGAACTGTGCGTGTCGCTCTCTCTTTATCTCTGTGCGCGAGAACTCTCACTGACCTTGCTCCCCCTCCCTCCCTCTCCCCCCTCGTCCCTCTCGCCGCCTCGCCACCTCACCCGGCCTGACCTGCGATACCCCCCACCTCATCGTCAAACCCGTCAACGACTCGCCTTTTCACGCTGCGCCAACCTCGCCCTCTCCCGGCACTCGACCCGCACCACCTCGCCTCACCTCGTCTCGCCTCGCTCCCTCCCCGACGACCACCCTCGCCACCTCGCCCTATCGCGACCACCGCTCGTACCGTCCGTCGACGTGCAGGCCTGATCGGCGCGATCAACGAGGCGAACGGCGAGGCGAACAAGGTGCAGAACCAGATGACGGGCGCGTGGGGCGGCGTTCCGGAGGTCGGCGCGTACTACCGCGACCACGGCATCGGCTGGGTCGTCATTGGCGACGAGAACTACGGTGCGTCGAGCGGGTCTCTAGCGGGGCGGCGAGGAGGGAGGGACTGGGGTGGATGTCGAGCGAGCGAGCGAGCGAGGAGTTGACTCTTTCTCCTCTCTTTGCAGGCGAGGGCTCGTCCCGCGAGCACGCCGCTCTTGAGCCTCGTTTCCTTGGCGGTACGGCCGTGATCACGCGCTCGTTCGGTCCGTCTTATTCCGCTCGCCATCACTTTGAGACGGCCGAACTAACCTCGCGCCTCCCCTCGATCCGCAGCCCGCATCCACGAGACCAACTTGAAGAAGCAGGGCATGCTCCCGCTCAACTTCAAGAACCCGGCCGACTACGACCGCGTCAAGCCCGACGACA